TATGTATATATATATATATATATACACATATTTATCTCCCCTTGTGGGGGATAAAATATTATAAATTGTGAATTGAATGATCGTTGATTTAGATCAATGCCCTCTTTATATTTCTCCTTGGAACAAAACAAATCTCTACTGAGTTACTGACAGCTTTGAAAGCATATTATCACTTGTGTCAAAACTGCCTTGTGAAACATCTGACAATAAACATGAAAATGTTGTTTTTGTCCTCAGATGCAGTGACACCTAGTATTTAAAAAACTTAGCAAGGCGACTCCAATGAAAATGCTATCATCCCACTTCTGGAGGCGGGTCTTTATTCATAGATGGCAGAGGAGGCTGAAAGACTTTTCTAAGATCTCAAGGACACTTGAGGACAAAGAGCGTCTTTTACATCGAAGTATTTTCTCAGATCAAAAGTTCTTTTCTCATACTTCTAAACTGTGGGTAAGTATTTTTTGTCTTATTTGATGTTTGTCATAGAATCAAAATTTTGAGCCATACCTTTCTTTTTTCCATATATGTGCAGTCGCAGAGCTGCCAACCTTACCCCAAAAAGCATATTTTTACACTTTTTTCAGCCATTGTACACTTGTACACCTTTTCATCTCACTTGTACGCCTTTTCGTTACACTTTCTCAATGTACACAGCCACACAGGTACTCGTCGTCAGCCAGTCATGGAAAGTGCTGGTTTCGAAGTTTTTGGTCAGTACTCAAAGCGGATACTATTACCTAATATTCCGTCAATTGCATCAGCCACGAAAACGTTGCGACAGATCTTAGGTTATGTGTAGATAAAGATGTAAGTTTAACGTTAGTTTTTGGCATGTATCTCTCATTTATCAAATTTCCTTCCGTTTGAGGATTGTTCCCTTTTTTTCTTAATCTTACTCTTTTTGAACATCAGTTGTACATGTTTTCATGGGTTGGGATTGCCAGCTCTGCAGTTGTCATTCAAATTGTCATTCAAAACATTACAATCTTATTTTGGATCATTTAGTTTAATTATTTTTTTTTAATGAATTATGAATTTAAAGTAATAGCTTACCATTAGCATAATTATTTAAATGTTATGTTGTCAATGTCAAGGATCCTTTTGTGTATGCTGTCACTTTATTTTAATTGACGATTTTTTTATTCCTAAAATAAGTAGTGGTATTGTATATCTGTCTTTGATTTTTTTGTTCCATCTTCATTCAGCAACAGCACAAAGGCTTACCTTTTGATGTAGCTGACTTTCCGGTGGAGAGAATTCGTAACTTCAGTATCATTGCTCATGTCGACCATGGAAAGAGTACTCTTGCTGATAGACTGCTTGAAATATCAGGTAGTACTTTTGTAGCTCTGTCCCCGTTGGATTATGCGATTGTGCGGCCCCAAATCGTAATTCTGCAACATTTGCAATATTTTGGATTCCCCGTGTTTTTTCTCCTTTTTTTCCTTTTTTTTTCACAGAACAATTAACGCCTCGCCATGTGACTAAAGGGACATAATCACCATAATAAGTCTCATTTACGTGAAAAGCTGGTTATTTCCCTTGTTAGAAGATCTTGGTTATGGGTTGGGATTTTGTTCCTTGAGCATGTTCAATTTTTCAATCCTTCGAAAGTTGTTGTTCTCATGTCTGCTGATGTTTCATGTTTGACAGGTGTCCCTGGTTTTAGTAATGTGCCAGCTTCAGAGGTCCAGATGTCCTTTTCTTTTTTTTTTACATTTTTCTTTCCTCTATAGATCTAGATCTAGAGATCTATAGCTGAAAGTTACAGAGATTATATTTTTTGGTTGTTTTTTTTTCTTACTGATGTGTATTGTTTGCTTTCCAAATACACAACAAATTACTGATACTGATATTTGCTGTTTAAAATTTTTCTGTACATAAAACATGAAAATCATGAAAATTCATGTTGAAAAATGCAAAACATGTCGCGAATGGTGTTACGGTAACTTACATAATTTTTACCTAATTTGGCATTTTTTGGGCATAATTTGGCCTTCTAAATTTGCATAATTCTATGGGGGCAGGTAGCTTACTGAAGGTCCATAATATCAGCAATTCCTCAATTATTTATTATAGTATTGAATGATACAAATTTGGTGATTAGATCTCTTTAATTCAATCATAGACTTCGTATATATGGGTGCAGTAGCTGTTATTTACTGCTGTTATTTACTTCGTAATTCAATTTGCAAGAAATGTAACTGTATTGAGAAGCCTGCCTTACATTATTCAAACTCTACCTCGTATTTATTTTTTTCATTGTGGTCCTATTTCAGTGTTGTGTCGTAGAAGACCCTATTTAGTCGGTAAAATGCTTGCATAGATTGGTAGAGAAACCAAGTATGCTGCAAATATTTACATGCATACATATTTATTGTGGATTCCTTTTGCTTACATTTTGAAGAGGACTCTGCTATTGTTGAAATAAATTTTCTTGTTTTAGACAGTCAGTCAAAAGATCCATCTGGTTGAGTGCATAATAGGCTATGATCCTATTTACTGGTTTGTATTGAATTAATAAGATATTGTTCATTAAATATATTAAAATGTACTTTTGAATTATTCTTGTAGGAACCATTCCTGAAGGCAACAATATGCAAGTGCTGGATCGACTCCAGGTGGAAAGAGAGAGAGGCATCACAGTAAAGGCTCAGACTGCCAGCCTGGTCGTGAACCACAAAGGACAGGACTTTTTACTCAACTTGATTGATACTCCTGTAAGTGGAAATGAGTTTTTGTTAGTTTTTCCTCTTATTTTTCCATGTGTGTATTCTATGTATTCTTGCATATGAATAGTTCTATATGATGATCTTGTATACTTTGGATGAGGAAATGTTGATTCTTGTCAATTTTTCTTCTATTTAAAAAAATTGTATTCTATGTCTTCTTGCATGTGTATTGTTCAAACATAATCATATTTATTCCCAAAACTGATATTACTTTCACAATGTAGGACTTACAGTTCACACCCCCTTTGGTTTATGCAGACAACTTTCCTTTTAAATGCTTGTCCAAATTACTGAAGTAGTGAAGGTATGATTAGTATGATCACTTTGATTTTTTTTCTCTTTTTTGTTTCATGCAGAGAATGAAAATAGTGAAAACGTGAATTGAATGTCTGATTTACTTTGGTCTTTTTATATATTCAGGGTCATGTTGACTTCCATTATGAAGTTTCAAGATCACTGGCAGCTTGTCATGGGGTTATACTGCTTGTGGATGCAAACCAGGTAATTGATCTCAGTTTGTATTCGTATGTTCTACCACTGAGTAGGGAATATAGATTTGAGCTTCAAAGTGGGTAGACTTTAGTGGAGTCCTGAGTTATCATAATAACATGCTATTGTACTACAGTAGAACACGGCTATAGCGGGGCATTTGGTTCCGGAAGAAAAATCCCGCTGTAGGCAAGTTCCCACTATAGGAATGCAAAGGGGAAATTACAGAAAAATTTCTAAAAATCCACATGATTACCTTCTTTCAATGTCAATAAAATTTGCGCTTTAGATTAGTCTTCCTTTTCTTGTCAACTTCATCGTTTATCTCGGCCTTTGATTCGAGTGAGAAGCATTTTCTTTTGACTTTGTTGGAAGCCATCTTTTCCTCAGACTCGTTGCTTGTGCTGTCTATCGTACCGGCAGGCCTACTGTAGAAATAGTGAACTTGAAGTGGATGCTACAAATGCCAATGAGCATCAACGATTGCAATTCAATGAATCAGAAATCACACACTACACGCTCTCCTCTTCTTTTACTTTTTGGCCTAGCCTAGGGCTATGGCCTATACGCTCTCATACTGAGCGTCTATGCTACGGCACATCTCTTTTGGAGTGGCTCATGTAACGTGCCTCTCCGCACCATCTCTCTCTGCCCCCACATTACTCATCCATGGAGTTGCCAATCACAACGCTGCGCCACTGCCTACCTGTTTGGAGCCTGCCTACAGCCCCCCAAACTGCCAGAGCTCACTCAATCTCTCCCGCTGTATCATAGTTCGGGCCTTTCCTTGCCTTGCTAAACTTGAGCCCATGTAATTGAGTTTACCTAGAGAAAAAAGGGGGGATTACAGTAAGGTCCGTTGTAAGGATGATCCCGCTGTAGTGGGTGCCGCTATAGTCATGTTCTATTTTTTTTTAAACTTTTCTTTTTCTAAGACGTTTCATTTTTCATTGATCTTATGAACTTAATGCTAAAGAATTTTGGGTATTTTCTTCCTGGTCATTTTGTAGCACCTAATGAGAGAAATTGGTAGTTTGAATAGTCTTCTTTATTACACCTGTATCGCAGTGTTTCTGTAAATTATGCTGCTTTTAAATTTTTTGGAGTACTTGTAAAGTCTGGTGTATTTTTTCTATCAACAGGGAGTTCAAGCACAGACTGTCGCCAACTTTTATCTGGCATTTGAATCCGAGCTGGCTATTATACCTGTGCTAAACAAAATTGATCTAAAAAATGCACAACCTGATATTGTTGCAAACCAAATTCACAATTTGTTTGATATTGACAAGGATGAGATACTAAAGGTATTGACCAGTAGTCTGTGACAGAAGCAAACAAAATATATTACTTTTGTCTTTAGAAGCCTTTTAGAGTACAGCACTTGGTTAACAGTGTTCAGAGAATAAGTTCAAACCTGTAAACATATATAACTAGCTGTACCAGGCTTAAACATTATTAGTTTTAACTGTTGTTTTTATAAATTATGCATGTGACTGTGGGTCCAGGGTGTGAGAGAGTATGTGGGTTTTCATGTGTGTGTGTGTGTGTGTGTGTGCATGCATGCTTGCAGGCATGCGTTAGTGTGTGTGTGTGTGGTGAAACATCAATCCTACGTGCCAGTGTCTGGACAATAAACATTAATCTTATCTTGTGGATGCAGACCTTGTACAGTACTCAAAGTAAGAGATAGTATTTTAAGAATGCATTGTGAGCACCTGCCCTGGTATATAATATACTTATACTTTTATTCTCATTCAGGGTCTTAATTTACCTTAGTTTAAGGAATAAGAGGTATATTGACAAGTTGATAGCCATTTAGTGCATGAAGAAATAAAGGTAGACAGACAGAACAGAGGGACAGAAAAGAAATACGGCCTAATAGTCCCTTCCAATCTCACATATTCTGTGCCTGTAGGATTTCTCAGTCATATGCTTCTCCTTCTACATTTTGTGCATGTTCCTTTTGCAAGCTGCTCAATTTTTCAAAAGATCTGTATCGACAGAAATACAGAAAAAGAAATGTGAGGCAGCACGGTGGAATCAGGCTCTCGTCAATTTTTGGGCATGTAGAGTTATTGGTATCATCTTAAAGCTTGTTCACTTGTCTTTTTTTGGATGAGCAAAGTATTCCTTTATCTTGAATACAAGTCGAGATATTTGGGAATGAAGGAGGTGGGGGGTCGTCTGTTTTCAGAGGTACAATTAGTGAGAAAATGGCTGCCAAAGATTAGTTATTTCCTTAGCTTAAGAGTCCGTGGTAACTGAAAATTTACATTTTTTGTGCCTTTAATCAATGTTTTCATGAAAAATCCAAACAGAAATGAGTTCTTTAATGGGCATGAAAGGTGTTGAGCCAAAAAACAAAAAATTGATTAAAATTCACAAACCTGTGGAAAAATGCAGGTTTCTTCACTTTGATTATTTTGACGAGAGCCTGATTCCACCACGCTGCCTCACAAACAGTATTTTTAGTGTCTCTTGTTGTTACAAATTACTTAACACCATACATAATACTATAAAATATAAAATATTCACCTTTCACAATTCTACTTATGCTTTGAAATGTTCATTGTATGCTCCACATTCACAAAGCATGGCTTTTACATCCTGTGTTAAACCAACCATTCTATTTTTTCAGATTTCAGCAAAGAGTGGTCTTGGTGTTGCAGATGTCATTGAAGCAGTGATTGAAAGAGTTCCATGGTAATGATTTCTTTTCTTTTTTTCTTTAATTTTTAAGTAACTTCTGTTTGTTTGTTTTTGTCATTGAGAAAACATATGTTCATTTTATCAAATGTAACATACATTTATACAGTCTTTAATATTGCTCAAAATTTGTAAAAGAAAATAAGGAGCATCTGTACTTTGTATATTTTATGTTACAGTACGACATGTAGGCCTAACACCTATTACAGTACTTGTTTATCACAAAACATAAACAGGGATAATTATCAATTGACAATATATGTGCAACGACATATTATTAATAGATAACATTTGTTAAGCGTAAATTCAAATGGAAAAAAACAGCTACAACTTTCTTATAGGAAAGGATTATTTACATAATGTCATAATTTACTGGGGGTTTTTGTTGTCATTTTGAAACAAATGCTAAAAAAAAAACTACTAAGAAAGATAATATGAATAACATCCTCTAAATTAGATTCCAAGTTTCTTTTTAAGAAATTGATGCTCTTTGCCTTCTGTAGTAAGGGCTTTGTAATAACACAAACCTTCCATGAACTGTGAAATGAAAATGATTCTGTTACCTCATTGCAAGTCTTTGCTTTCATTTTTTTGTCCATTTAACATATTTTACTGAAAAAGGCATACTCAGATCGTGGGTGGTTGGCGGGTGCTCTGGTGTGGTTTGCTTCTTCTTTCTTCTTAAACATCTATCGTCCTTATCTCTCCTTCTTTTTTACGTTTGTTGTTACTCTCTTGTAACACCTCTAATCTTCGGTACTTATATGACCTTATTGTGTTGCAAGTGCCGTAAAACTCTTTACTAAACTAATACTCAGATCATGTCTACTTCAGTCCACAGTATGACAGAAACAAACCGCTTCGAGCATTTGTGTTTGATTCGTGGTATGACAAATTTAAAGGTGTGGTCGCCCATGTAGCAATCTGTGATGGAGTCGCAAGAAAAGGTATATCGTTATTATTGTGAGTGTGTTCTGCAATCTGCTTGTGGGTAGGTGTCTTTTATCTAATATTGATAAAAGAGTAAAATTGATAGCTTTTTGTTTTGTTTTGTAAAATGGCAAATTTTTGCTACCAATAACTAATAACAAAAGAAAATTTTATTAAAAAGAAAAATGAAACTTTTGGGAATTTGCACTTTCTATGATACTTTTCTTTTTCACATTTGAGACTGATATTTTACAAAAGTCTTATGCTGGTATTGGGCTTTTCAAATTTCAGCGAAGCTGTCAATGATATGGTTTTCTACTACCAGTAGCCAAAAGATTTTGGAGATATTATCCGAAACACATTATAATGGTTAGAATAAAATGTTAGAAGGGGTTTAAGTGTAAGAATTGACACTAGAGGAAGTTTTTCCTGTTATTTTTCTTTTAACATCTCAGAAGCAGGATAGTTAAACCCCCAAGTTGTCTTGCCTTTTTTCTGTTTTTCATCCTATTAATACGTAACAGGTGTTCCATCGTCATAACCTGCTCTTTCACCATGATATTGAGTATAGGCTTCCAAGAAGGGCTTGCCACCTGTCTCTATTATAGGTGATCTTCTCTACCCCCGGCCAGCTGCCTGAGATCTGCCTTCAGATCTCATTCTCAGGTGGATCTCGGCATTCCTTTCTTCCTCCTTCTTTGAGGATTTCATCTCAGGCTTTGACTTGTCACATTGTGAACTGGCTTCGTAAGTGTGTGCCCAATCCACCACCATCTCCTTTGGCTGATTCTCCAGTCCTTTTTCAGATAACAGGCGTTTTTCTTGAAAGAATTCATTCTTGCTATTTTATATATGCATAAAGTATCAGTTAACCTTCTGCTGTCTAAACACAGGGGAAAAAATTACTTGTGCAAGTAGCCAGAAGGTGTATGAAATCACAGAAATTGGACTGATGTACCCTACACAAGTTCCATCTGGTGCTTTGTAAGTATTCTGTTGACTTTTGAGTTTGCACAACTTTGTGAAAATACCTGTTTCTTTTGTTTACTCAGACAGGAGAATATTGTGTGATATAATACAGAAACTACATACTAAAAGCTATGTCTGTACAAATAATCATTTTCTTCAGTGGGAAAAACTTGAGGCTCCGAAATTTGATATGCTGTCATTATACATGATGTCCTTTTTAAAAAGACAACCGAAAAAACACCTGTCATTCAAAGTTAAACTCATCCCTTTCTTTAAATTTAGTCTAAGTTTTTGACTTCTAACTTTTCTTGGCTGTGGAATTTTTTTTTTAACTGTACAAAGTTTTTTCAAATTGAGTTACTTCTCAATCTCAGATTTGCTGGTCAAGTTGGGTATGCCATGATGAACATGCGCAACACAAGTGAAGCCCAGATTGGGGACACGTTTTACCATGAGAATCAGCCGGTGGAGCCCATGCCAGGATTCAAGGAGGCCACCCCTATGGTAAATTTTCCCACAAAAGTCAGATTTTTTTCTCACATTAACAGCTGTTTAAAAATCTCAGTGAGGGTATCCTGCTAGGTTGTTTTTTTCAAGTACTTACTGCTATGAATGTTATCATATCCTGCAGTTGTTAGCAGAGATCAATCCTTGCTGAGCGTTTGATACTTAATATGAGTGAAATTTTTTTTTCTTCTGATTTTCATATGCTGGTGCCATTATAATCCCTGAAATTCTTTTGGTGTTAAAGATATATGGGATTTAAATTTGGCTCTCCTTTTAGTTTATACTAAAAGATTTTACTTTTAGTTTACGCTGAAAGATGTTTATCTTTGATATAACCAAGTGACACAGACCTAGAGCTTTGGAAACTCTCTAAACAACTCAAGTTCAAGAATGCACCTTTGGAGACTTGAACAAGTGTTATCTATGCAGAAATTAATGACTTCAACTGTGCTTACTGGTCAGCTCCTGAATTTTTGGGTTTTGCAATGAATACTAGCATCCTGTTCAGGGGTGATGTTTCTACATCTGTTCTGTTTCACTTTGTATATAGACTTTTCCAGGCTTCTTAGACTCCACAGAAAAGGAATTTTCTTTTATTTCTTTATTCTGTAACAAAAGAAATCGCTCTGTCTGTTAAAGCCCTTATTGAATAGTAAATATTTTTTTCACCCATCAGGTGTTTGCTGGAATGTTCCCAACAGACCAGTCCGAGTTCCCTCAGATGCGAAGTGCTATAGAAAAACTGACATTGAATGACCGCAGTGTTCAAATCAAGGTGGACAACAGGTATAATATATAATAAGTGACTTATAATTTATTCTTTTTTGTTAATAAAGTGTCACTGTTATATGACTCTTTTGAAATTGACTTTATACCACTTTGCCTTGTAGTGGAAGTCTTTTTTTAAAGTGTAACATGCAAATCTTTCAGCTATTTAGATTTTCTTTTTGGTGATCTACTTGATTTCTGGTGAGTTTAATTTCAAAACAACTAATATTATATTCCTTGATCTGAAGACAAGAGTAGTAGAGCTTTGTTTGCAAATTGTATACATTTGGTGTTGTCATGAAACTGTTTTATGGTAAACTGATAGTGAATCTAATTCTTCTTCAAGACCAAGTTTGACTCTTTCATTTCTGCAGTCCAGCATTAGGTCAAGGATATCGCTTGGGCTTTTTGGGACTGCTGCACATGGATGTTTTCAATCAGAGGCTTGAGCAAGAGTTTGATGCATCTGTCATTGTCACAGCTCCAAATGTAGCTTACCAAAGTGAGTGTGCTAATAATTTCAGTTAATGCCTTCAGGGCAGATTAAACCTTTATTCTATTGAAAGATTTGGGATGCTTACATATCAGGGATTAAATTGATATAGGTTTTTCTTACTACTTGCTGGGGTTGAATTGCCTATGTTGACGGGATGTATGAAAAAAGTTGTTAGGGAATTGGGGGGGGGGGGGGGGGAGTATTAGAATTTAAGAATGAAACAGTCATTACAATCACTACTGTTGCTGTTTGTTTTGGGGTTTTTTTATAAGTTTTTGGTTAGTTAATTAATTGATTTAGCAATTTTGATTTTTGATTTTTTTAATTGAAGGAAATATAGAGTTTTATCACTGTCCCTTTTTGAATATACAGTTCATTTGGTTTTTCTTTTTTTTGTAATTTTGCTCTCAAATTAGTTTGAAAGGTAGTTGTATAATCTTTGTGCTTGCAATAGTTTTTGTTTAACATTGCAAATTCATCCCTGTCTACAATGCTGTGGTCCTCCCAACCCTGTTGTATGGTGCTTAGACCTGGAACGTGTACCAAAGTCATGCCAAGAAGCTCAGTCATTTCCATTTGAAATGCGTCAGGAGAATTCGTGGCATCAACTGACAGGATAAGATACTTGACATCTAGTTTCTCAGAAGGGCAAATGCCGAGAGTCTGTTTTCTAAGCTCAAAAGGACTCAACTTCACTGGGCTGGCCATGTCGTAAGAATGCCTGATTTCACAATCCCAATGGCAGTGTTCTGTTCTGAACTGTCCTCAAAGAAGTGTAAAGTTGGCGTGCTAAAAAAGCACTACAAGGACACCCTGAAAATGTCTCTGAAGGACTTCAACATCAATCCTTCTACATGGGAGAGCCTTGCTCCTGACGACAGACCCAGCTGGAGAGCAGCAGTCACAGTGGGCAGCAAAATTATGAGGTTTCACGAATAAGAAACTATAAGAGAAGCCCGCAAGCTGCACACATCCACAAGTGGAAGTGGAGCCTGTAAATGTTCAATATGTGGCAAATGCCAGAATTTCTCTAGTTAGCCTCATCAGAAGCTACATGTCATTGTAATCTTTAATTCTTCAAATTCTTTTATTTTGCTGGAGAAATTATCTCCTCTGCGGATGAATTGGTCATCGTCAGACATTGACGGACGAGCTATATAACATTGCAGAAGTTAGTGTTTTATTTTGAGCTTGGAAAATGAAGTTTTGCCATTTCCCCCTAGTATTTGAATTTATAGTTGACCAATTGTCTTGAAACGTGCACTTCAATAAAATTTAATTCTCCTTACACCTGTTGTTTCATAGTGACAGTTACTGGTGAGAAGAACATCAAATACTACGGATCAGAGGACATTACAGTTCTCAATCCTTGTCTGGTGAGTTGATTTTCATAAACTTTACAAATGTCATTGATCTTTTTAGTATTAATCACCTGAGAATTTCTATGCTGCTAGCTGGTTTTAGTTCGAAAATTTGTCAAAAGTTCTGCTTTTTTAAGGTAAATTTTAATTATTAGAATCTGTTGGACATGGTGGGTTGTAGAGTAACACGCTTTTTTTACTGTTCTCATTCGGTACCCAGAGATGCCAACCAGTACGATTTTACATATTTTAGTACGATTTTTTGCCGAAAATACGCAAATACGACTTTTCATGAAAAAATACGCATCCTGGAATGCGAAAAATACGAGATTCAGCTTGGGTGAGTAAACCTAATTATCTCAAGTCCCATCTTTTGTCAAAATAGTATCAGTAACGCAGAACTGGAATATTTGAAACCAAGTCCGATAAGGTCAGTAAGTTCATTTTTGCCGGTCGCGATCGTGATATTATATTCGTTCAGCTTTTCCCCGTCCGGGGAGTACGTTTCACTTTCACGCGTATAGGCAGCTATGGCGGCAGGCGGAAGCGTATGTGACACCGAGGCTCGATCAGAAAAATCAAGATCTACTTTCGCTTTCACCAAGAAGTTTGCCAGCAGTTGTCTGATAATGCAACATTTGTGGCATGCAGGTTGTGCAGTATAAACGCAATGTCGCCGTGCAAATAAAATGTAATAAATACTCAGACTCGTCTCTGTGCTGTCACTTGTGGAAAAAAAAAAAAGAAAAGAAAATACAAGCGTCGTCCGATTCTTAGATTGTCTGGCTCGCCACCATGACCGGTCACTGAACCTGCGCGCATTTGCGTCATAAATAAATGCGGCATCGTGTGAGTAAAGACCGTCTTTGGTGGGAGTAATGGCGTTGCGAAGTATAGGACTACGGAATAGGGGAGGAAATTATTGATTTTTTGGGGGTTTAAGATACTATCGGGAGGAGGGGGTGGGGGGGGGGGGGGTTAAGGCAACACCAGAGGACAAAAACTTGGAAGCGCATTTCAGAATTTTGATTAGAGCTTTCTCACTGCTAAGCGCGCGTTGGTGCAGGCCGTGTGTGGAATCGGGACCCCTCATACTTTGCTAGTCGTGTGTTATTGAAATAAAGTGTTCGCGTTTCATTGGATGGGTGAAAGTAATTATACCTACTTGGATGGGTGACAGTAAATTATACCTACATCTACTTGGATGGGTGATAGTAAATTATACCTACATCTACTTGGATGGGTGATAGTAAATTATACCTACAGTGTATGTTGTATCTTTCTGTTCAAGACTGGCAGATTTTCAGTGTCACTGCATCTTGCCCTCCCATAGTTGTTACAACTCTCACAGTGCATGGGTCTACTTGAGCCATTCAAGTTATTGCTTTTCTCTGAGTTTCAGCAATAATTTTAATCTGTCAGTTCATAATATGAATCATGACACCCAGACTGGTTCTTGGTAGTCAAAATTCTTGTTCTAGGCCCTTCCGAAGTCTCAAAGCAGGATTTATTTTTTATATAATAATGAGAGGAAGATATATAATAGATTGAAATACTTAAGTCAAACAAGACCCCTGTACGACATTGAACACTGACATGTTGTTGACTGCATATGTATATTGTATGCGTGTGTGCTCCCTTCTTCGAGCTGGTGAGCTAGTAATTTTTTCTATTACTAGTTGGTCGGTCATGGGCAATACACATTTTCCCCTGAAAATACACATTTTCATATTTCCCAATACTCATTTCGGTTTTCTGTGGTTGGCATCTCTGGGTACCATTATTGGACATAGTTTTATTTTTAAAATACGTGGCTCTTTTGAGAATTACTTTTCTCAGAGACAATGATCTGATAGAATATTTATAGCAATGGAAAATAATGTAACAGTCCAAATGACATGAAATTAAAACAGCATTATTTTATGCAATGGAAGCTAGTGATCTTTTTCATTTTGTCTCATATTTAATCATATTTCTTTGCTGCTTTTCAGTAATCTTTTGAACCGTAATAATAGTTGATAAAGTTATTCTTTTTTTTTCTGTGCTGTGGTTGTCAGTTCATTTTATTCAATTCTTTTCCCCTCTCAATTTGGTTCAACACTGCAAGGGTTGCAATTTCTTTTTATTTCGATAATCTTTTTCTAACGTGATTCTTGTATAAATATAATGTATTGCCCTTGTGCAGATGCCAGAGCCCAGCAATATAGCAGAGTACAGAGAGCCAATGGTCAAGGGCACAATCATTTCACCAGATGACTACATCAACCAGATTACAGGTTTATGCCTTGTAAGTCTTGAACTCACTAGAAGGGGGAAATTGACACCTTACTGCTTGTAATAAGTAGTCAAAACCGGTCCGCCGGCAGCACTTTGATCTCAACAATGCATTCAGAAAGTATGGTAAGGTGGGGAAGAATGCATATCAGCAGTCTAATTCTACCAGCATTTGAAAGAGCAAAAGCTGCTGGTTGTTTGAGTGTGCAATGTGTGTTTAGGTATCGTACAAACAGTGGTTTGTAAGTACAAGTGTGAAAGAAGGTCATTTTTGCTTTTTTTTTCACATGAAACAAAAACTGTGGAAACTTAAATTGTTCTATTTTTGAATTATCTTGACCAGTTTCATTATTATACCCTGGTGGGTTTTTTTTTAATTTTTTATGTAAAACCTTGTAGTTTGTGTGATTGACTTTCCAAATTTAGGCTTCTCTCTTATTTCATGTGCTTTTTTCACAAATCCAAAAATAATGCTTTTTCAAATTCGCAAAATGTATTTTGACTGCTTTTTCGCAGAAATTCAAACCTCATAACTTTTTTATTGAGCTGCCACAAAAGTAAGGACATCAATGTTTACAGAATAAAATGTTCTATAACATGAAAGCATCAAATCCTGATTTCAAAAGGGAAAAAAATTTCATTTGGACAACCTGCTTATAACTTTTCTTTAGAATTTGGCTGAATACTTACATTGGCATTTAGTTTAGCTCTCTCAATCTAGATCCACTCCTGTAGCAAGGATGCCTCCTTTACTACTAGTCTGGATCATGCAGCTGCTGCTGGATGGACTGTCGTTTTTTTATTTTGGTTTTTTTTATTCCTGAAAGTTTTCTGTAAAATCTATGGGAACCCTGCTGTTTGCCAGTTTAAGTCGTGGCCCGTTCCTAGTTTTTGATGTTGTGTTTTGTCTGTTTTAATTGTATGAACAGGCAGGAAGCGATTTACCACATATATTGAGCTGTTCTCTTTTGTTTGTATGCAGGATAGAAGAGGGCGGATCACAGACCAGTCCTACATTGATGACAAGCGGGTAATGTTTCAAGTGAACTTTCCCCTCGCTGAAATCCTTGTGGACTTTTTTGATGAGCTCAAATCTATATCATCTGGCTATGCAAGGTAATGACCAATTGAGGCTTGCTTTTTATTAGAATACCTTTGATGCCAACCCAAAAAATGCAAAACATCAGTCACAGACTTGTCTTAACTTTTATTTCATTACCATTACCGGTGATGATGTTGCTTTTCCTACCTTGTCAAACAACATGACATGAAAACTTTTATGTTTCTCGTAATGTCTATTATATTAATTAAGAGCGTGCTATACACCTTCTATATGGTCACTCACACTTTTACAGAATGAGAAAAAAGAAATTATGAGTTGGATCTACTAATTTTGCTTGCAGCCTTAATGTCTTTGTACGCTCATTTTTCTTTTAGCTGTCTTTTGAACTAAGCTACAGCAGGATTTGTGGTTCTCACTGCTGTTGTTCTGCCTTTGAAACAGGATAAAAGACAAAATAAATTTGTTTATTTATCGTTTTCTTTTCTCCCCAGCTTTGACTATGAAGACGCTGGGTATGAAATTTCTGATCTTGTAAAGGTAAAATTTGAGGGGGGGTTCTTTCAAAATTATAGTCAAACACACACATAGCAAAATCTGTGGGACAATGAACTCTTTTCTATTTTAGTTTTTTTAAAAATAGTTTTAGTAAGAGTTTTACAGCACTTGCAACACAATAAGGTCACATAAGTGCCGAAGATTAAAAGTGTTACATGAGAATAGCAAACACAAAAAGGAAGGAGAAGAAATAAGAACGCTAGATGTTTGATAGGAAAGAAGGAGCAAACCACACCAGAGCACGAGCCAACCACCCACATTTCAGTTTGAACGAATTCCGTTTTGTAAGTGTTTAAACTGACTTGAGCCCTGGTTCCAATCATAGCTTTGGGTTTTTGCATTTTTTACAAGGCGATCTAATACCGGTATTGTGAATGATTCTTATACAAAGCGTTATTTTAATCATTTTCCTAACCAGAAATGAAGATTGTTGAAATCGGAAAGTTACGTAGATGTAAAACTACTTTCACTTTGGTGACCTATTAGAGGCCCAATGTCATTTTACTTCGCTGATTAATATAAAAAATACTAGATCTAGGGATATCTGAGAACTTTTCAAGACAGTATCCTTATAAATAACTGAAATATATACAGTCCAGTCCATTTATAACAGCCTCTGTTATTACAAGAACTTAGATAACAGTGATAAATCAAATCCTCGTTTTTTTTTCTCGACAAGTGAAAGTAATATGAACCTGGTTCAATTTGCACAAACTCGGACAAAACAGTGATCTTGCAGCGCATAACCTTGCTTTCGATACGTCAAATTATTGAAATTTGTCTCAACCAAGACATTTCACCTGTTTGCATGATCGCTTGCCTAAACAAACATACATACCCCCCCTAGTGTTGGGGTCAGTGATCGATTCCGTCTCAGTATCAGCAAAACAGCCCACTGGAAAATGATCTGTGGTAATCGAATATATATATATATATGAGGCAGCGCGGTGAAATCAGGCGCTCGTCAAAATACAGTGGAATCCTGTTATAACGAGAGGGAGGGGACCGATGCGAAATGTCCGTTATAACGGGATTCTCGTTACAAGGGATCCAGTAATAAATTCAAAGGAAATAAAGTAGGCGTGATCTATCAGTTTGGTGTTCTGTTTATTCCTTTTTGTATTTCCCCTGATGATGATTTGTTCAACATGATCTCAAGTCTTACTTGATCAAAAATCAAATCAGGTTTCTTTCTCTAGCTCTAGCAATGTTGACAAATCGGGCTTGACGATCAGAAAGAAGGGGCTCTTGCCCTAGGCTAACTCGCCCGCTGTGTTGTCCCCCACCCCACCACACCCTGTGGTGCGTTGCGTCTGCTTGCGCACGTCACACATTCACTCCATCTATCACAGCATTGTGACCTCTCCATCCCGCACCAGAGAAGTGAGAGGCACGGTACGCCTAGGCTAGATAATCTAGACTGGGTTGACCTATCATGCGATGTGTTCTGCTTGTCTGCGCATGCCACACCCTTCCCACTAATTCGCTCCGGTCTTCATTGTTGGTTCGCATGGGCTCTCCCATTTTTTGTTTCGCTGGATCACCAACAACTTTCTCAACTGGCAAGGTTTTTTAATATGTTTAATTGGTCTGTGCACTGTACACAGCAGCAGCAGTATTCCGTTATAACCGACTAGCGTGACGGTCTGATTGCGCAATAGCAGTATTTTATTTACAAAGATAAAGAAGGAGAAAAAACAGGGTTTTAGAATACTGTCTTTATAACAGACTTCTCGTTGTTTCAGGACTCGTTATAAGTGGACTCCACTGTAACAAAATCGGAGAAACAGGTCTTTTGCCGCCAGTTTGGAAATTTTTATCGAATTTTTCTTTTTTAGGTCCATATAAAAACACATTTCCATGTAAATTGTACTTAAAAACATTGTTTAAAGGCACAACATATGTTATTTTTTAATTTTCAAAGACTCTTTAGCTATTTGAGATACCAAACTTTGACGGCCATTTTCTCGCTAATTTCATCACTGAAACCAGGCGACCTCACGTCCTTTAATTGCAAATATCTTTAATTTTATTTAAGATAGATGGATATTTATTTCATTGGAAGCAAGGCAAATAAATCAGCTTTCAGATGATACCAATAACTCCACATGCCCAAAAATTGAAGAGCGCCTAATTCCACCGTGTCGTGACACATATTATAGTAAGCTGAAGATGCAATGATACTAGTAGTTTCCCTTGATAACGGTTTTACAGGACTCGCATAAGAGGGAAAAGCTGCCGGTCTGTCTGTCCTGTTAATCCGAGTTTGACTGTACTGATCTAGTCCTCATATTTTTGTGTAATTAAACATTCTTTTTGGTGTTATTTTTTGTCCCATGGGATAGTTTAACCCTATCCCATACGTCATGTTTTACTATTGTATCCTTACACGACGTGGGGAACTCTGTGCCACCACTTTCCAAAGAGGAAATTTACTCGTTGATCTGATCCGTACGCTTTAGTATAGTATAGTATAGTATAAGGTTTTACGGCGCTCGCAACTGCTAAGGTCATATGAGCGCGCATAGCAGTCTGTCAAAATGATTTTTTGAGAAATACTGAAAGTTTCAAAGAGATCTTGGTACAAGAAGTATTCTAAAATGTGAAGAATACAACCCCGGGGGTACAAAATGACCCCAGGGCGTACGGATAGGGTTAAAGATTTATGGAACAAAAGGTTTGACAGATAACTTAGCAAAATAGAAAATATTACAAAGAGGAGAAATTTATCATTATCTGAGCTAAAAAATTTAAGCAGTAGCTTAATACAGTGGAATCCTGTTATAACGAGAGGGATGGGACCGGTGCCAAATGTCCGTTATAGCAAGATTCTCGTTATATGGGATCCAGTAATAAATTCAAGGAAAATAGTAAAATAGGCCTAATCTATGAGTCTGGTTTTCGGTTTATTTCTTTTTGTAATCTCCCCTGATGATGATTTGGTTCAACATGACCTTCAAGTCTTACTTGATCAAAAGACGAATCAGCTTTCTTTCTCAAAGGCTAGCGATATTGACAGCTCGGCGTTGGCGATCAGAAAGAAAGTTCTCTAAGCTAACTCGCCCGCTGTGTTGTCCCCCACCCCACCACCCCCTGTGGTGCGTTGCGTCTGCTAGCGCACAATGGGAAAATACCACACCCCGCCCACCACACACATTCGCTCCATCCATCACAGTGCAGCACTATGACCTCTCCATCCCCGTATCGGAGAAGTGAGAGGCATGGTAGGCCCATAGAATTCTACACGTAGAATTCTGTGGGTAGGCCTTGATATTAATCTAGACCAGGCTGGCATATCACATGATGCGTTCTGCTTGTCTGCGCATGCCACACTCTCCCCACTCATTCGCTCTGACCTTCATTGTTGGCACTCATGGGCTCTCCCATTCTTTGTTTCACAAGATAACCAACAAGTTTCTCAACTGGTGAGGTTTTGCATGAATAAATGGCGTATATGCGCTGTGCACAGCGGCAGATATATTGCGGTATAACCGACTTGCGTGTTTGTCTGATCGCGTTATATTAGTATTTTATTTACAAAGATAAAGAAGGGGGGAAAATGGGGTTTTAGAAAAGTGTCTTTATACAGTGGAATCCTGTTATAACGAGAGGGAGGGGACCGGTGCGAAATGTCCGTTATAGCAGGATTCTCGTTACAAGGGATCCAGTAATAAATTCAAGGGAAATAGTAAAGTAGGCCTAATCTATGATTTGGTGTTCTGTTTATTCCTTTTTGTATTTCCCCCGATGATGATTTGTTCAACATGATCTCAAGGTCTTACTTGATCAAAAATCGAATCAGGTTTCTTTCTCTAGCACTAGTAATGTTGACAAATCGGCCTTGGCGATTAGAAAGAAGGGGCTCTGGCTCTAGGCTAACTCGCCCGCAGTGTTGTCCCCCACCCCACCACACCCTGTGGTGCGTTGCGTCTGCTCGCGCACGTCATACATTCACTACGTCCATCTATCACAGCATTTTAACCTCTCCATCCTGCACCAGAGAAGTGAGAGGCACAGTATGTCTAGATAATCTAGACTGGGCTGGCCTATCACGCGATGCGTTCTGCTTGTGTCTGCGCATGCCACACCCTCCCCACTCATTTGCTCCAGCCTTCATTGTTGGTTCGCGTATGCTCTCCCATTCCTTGTTTCGCTGGATCACCGACAATTTTCTCAACTGGCAAGGTTTTATAATAATGTTTAATTGGTCTGTGCGCTGTGCACAGCAACAGCAATATTCCGTTATAAACGACTCGCGTGACGGTCTGATTGCGCAATAGCAGTATTTTATTTACAAAGATAAAGAAGGAAAAAAAAACGGGGCTTTAGAACAGTGTCTTTATAACAGACTTCTCATTGTTTCAGGACTCGTTATAAGTTGACTCCACTGTAACAGACTTCTCGTTATTTCAGGACTCATTATAAGTGGATTCCACTGTATATATACATTCTCAAGAATTTTTTGAAAAGCGTGAAAATAGCTTGCATTGAGTGACCATCGCAACTCCATACTGACCAGGGCTCAATTAGTAAAGTACAAAGAAAATATACATGTGTAAGAAAAATTCTTGTCTGCTGTGTGCATTTCATTATGTGCGTGTTTTCAAAATGCATGCTAGATCATCTATCAGAGTCCCTGTTACTGTTATAGGCTTACTCAGTAATAATAGTTTCTCATCAGTATCATAAACGAAAAGGGTAGCTTTAAAGTAAAGAGTAATTCTTAAAAATTGCTGAAGTTCAGTGGCAATGGTCACGGTTGCTGTTACATGTGGTAGCCTACTGGAGCCTTTTCAGTTTTAATTCCATTTCAGCAACAAATTTTTCAAGTTCAATATAACCATAACATGATCACCAATTTCTTTTGTAATAGTAATAGACACAGCTGCTTCGGTTTCATAAAATCTTCCTCTGCATCATAAAAAAGTCATGAAATTGCACTGTTTCATTTTATTAATAATGTTATTACTTTTATTTTTGCTCTTGGATTGATTAATCTATAATAAATATTTCCCTCTGTTGTCTCTATCTGTCTGTCTAAATGTTGCCTTTCCCCTGCTCTAAATGACTTTATCGTGGTAGAGGTAGTGTTCTCCACTTTACTGAATAGTCTGAAATACTCTGCAATATTTCAGCTGGAATTCTACTTGAACGGCAAAGATGTCGAAGAGTTGACCTTGATCTGTCATGTGTCACGTGCCCGTGACCTTGCCCGCCAGGTGTGTCTAAAGCTCAAGGACACCATACCACGTCAACAGTTTGCTATATCTGTGCAAGGCAAAGTCAATGCTAAAGTTCTTGCACGTGAAGACATCAAGGCTTATCGCAAGGATGTCACGGCCAAGTGTGTAAGTATTCTCCAGGTGGTACGTTGAAAAGTGTTAGGGAAAGTGTATATTCTTACTTACAGATGTCAAAATACACATCAAAAGATTATTTAGCAAAACCTCCTTCTTAAGTGTATAACGTGTGGAGCTTGAAAGAATGTGTCAAATTCTGTAAGAATTTCTTAACCCAAGTACAACAAAACACCATGCACAGACTATTTCCATACTAACCAATGACTGCCTAATTCCATAAAACAATAAAGTAACCACTTTCCCTCCAGCAGCTATTTTGTTCCATGTTTATCAAGACTCTTACTTTATTGCACAAAAAAATTACCTAGAGATGCAATTCTTTCTTTTTTCCCCAGTATGGCGGTGACATTTCAAGAAAAAGGAAACTGCTGAAGCAGCAGGCGGAAGGAAAGAAACGTTTGCGTAAAATTGGAAATATAGACGTGCCAAAAGACACCTTCATTCAGATTTTGAAAAAATAGCACTGTCTGTGATAATTGTGAATGTAATGAAGTTGGCTATGCCTTTTACAAAATATTCCTTGGTACTGAAAGAGTGTTAGTGTCATGTGAGCATGATGATGATGATATTTGTTGTATATTTGCAAATGAAAGAGCAGTGCTGTACTTCTTACTAAATTAATTTGAAAACAGATTTTAAATCAGTTTGTTGCTATGCATGAAAGTTTTCTAGAGTCACAGTTGTGTGCTTTGTGCAATGTGAGAATGGATCTATTTATAGACATGTTTCCACAAAGTTAAAATAAATAATAAATCATTTTATAACCTGTCTCTGTTCACAATGTCTTAAAAACTAGTTACCCAAATATACAGATGACCAAAACTGTTTAAAAGAATGTTCCCTGCTTTCAAAGTGTTCTTCTTACGATATATTACAACCAGATTGCCATCACAAAAACACAGGTGTCTGTGGTGTAGCAGTTAGGTGATTAGCAGTTACACACAGTAGACCAGAGTTTGATTCCCTTGTGGGGAGAATTTTTCTCAAGTACAGTGGAATCCTGTTATAACGAGAGGGAGGGGACCGGTGCGAAATGTCTGTTAAAGCAGGATTCTCGTTATATTATAAGGAATCCAGTAATAAATTCAAGGGAAATAGTAAAGTAGGCCTAATCTATGATTTGGTGTTCTGTTTATTCCTTTTTGTATTTCCCCTGATGGCGATTTTGTTCAACATGAACTCTAGGTCTTACTTGATCAAAAATCGAATCAGGTTTCTGTCTCTAGCACTTGCAATGTTGACAGCTCGGCGTTGGCGATCCGAAAGAAGGGGCTCTGGCTTTAGGCTAACTCGCCCGCTGTGTTGTCCCTCACCCCACCACACCCTGTCGTACGTTGCGTCTGCTTGCGCACGTCACACATTCACTCCATCTATCACAGCATTGTAACCTCTCCATCCCGCTCCAGAGAAGTGAGAGGCACCGTATGCCTAAATAATCCGGACTGGGCTGGCCTACCAAGCGATGCGTGCTGCTTGTCTGCGCATGCCACACCCTCCCCACTCATTCACTCCGGCCTTCATTGTTGGTTCACGTAGGCTCTCCCATTTTTTGTTTCCCTGGATCACCAACAAATTTCTCAACTAGCGAGGTTTTATAATATGTGTAATTGGTCTATGCACTGTGCACAGCAGCAGCAATATTCCGTTATAACCGACCGCTTGACAGGATAGTCAAGTAATTAAGTCTTTACTGTGTTGGGAGGGCAATACATGTGTATGTAACGAAACACAGTGAATAAAATTTTCATTTGATTTTCCTTACACATCAAATGACTTTTGAGGGAGAAAAATCCCACCACTCATTCGAGGATCAGGTATAATCAATAGAACTACTGTGACACAAGCAAACTCCATAGCTTGGTACAGTCATTACAACAGCTGCTGTGGTAAAGTTGACCAGATAGCACAGCATGTCATTCAGACACATGTAGAAAACACTATAAATATAATAGGAAAATGGCCGACTTTGAAATGGCACATACAAGAAAAGGTTTACTCACAAACTGAAAAAGAAAAACTCAAGTGTCATTTCTGGTGTTTATTACAAATGAAGAGACGAAGAACATGGTAAAATATTTTGTCATTCTATATGAAACTATATTTACAACTCAAGGACTTCTTCACACCGTACAATTTCAAAACTTCATAACATTTTCTCATACTCATACAGCAAGCAGTCCAAGAATTCACTCTTGCTAATTTATAATCCGATGAAGATTCTCTTGCACATTTCCCAGTTGCTCTATCGCTGCGTTATGTCGGTAAGTTATCCATCTGTGAAAGTAAAATGAAGACAACGTTCCAAATCAATATCTGACTTTTCTGTTGAAATACATACCGTGGAGTCCACTTAAACCAAACACAGTTATAAATCTGAAAACAGCTGTAAAAACCAAAAGAAAAAATCCCCTTTTTTTTCTCTAGTTTTTGCTGTCCCAAAAATTTTAGTTTATGCAAACTCCACTGTATTGCAGGTATGCAAAAGTTTGAGATAAATAAAGAGCTAGTGAAATTCTGTTTCTAAAACACGAATAGGTCGAACACAGAAGACTCGAAATCACGCATCCGTCAAACTGTGCCTACAGTCCCGTTTTTAAAAAATATCTTTATCTTTGTAAAAAAATTACGCCAAGCTGAACACAAACACAGAATAGTCAAACTAATCATGCCACATCATGTCCAAAGTCATGTCCTTCCAGGTGCACTTGAGACAAAATAATAATAATAAAAACATTGGAAAAAGACAAGGTCAGAATAAATCCACCTTCTCACCTCCATTGAAACAGCTGTGTTATTTTTAGCATGCTGCTCGACAAGCAGGCCTAGGCCCTAGGCCTAGTTAGGTTTGAGTGGAGCGGGCGGGAGGAAGGGTTGTGCATCACCCAGTCTATTGTTTTGCTCTCTTTGTTGCTTCCCTTGATTCTCTGACACAGCCCATGCCACAACACTGTTCACATATCCCCCAAGCTACAGATTCCTTCAATTTACAGAGGCCGGTCCCGATGAATTCAAGCTATCCATGTTAAACTATATAATTATATAATATATATTTGGGTGCGAGGAAAAACAGAATGTAACTTTTGGGTAATGGCGCGGGGGGGGGGGGGGGGGGTAATAAATAAAATGATTGACCATTGACAACCGTATTCCCCTAGCATAGACTTTTTTTTTCCAAGCACCAAACTTAAGCTCTGGATATATAAATGAGACTGAGGAGACTTGAAAATACTTACCAATCCTCACTACAACTCAAATCAGCTAAAAGTAACATGCAATACATATTTTTCCCTTGCTGCACCCTTCATATATCGACTTGAAATAATGTTTACAGTGGATCCTACTTTTAACAAGGCTTTTATAATAAATCCCTGAGTCCATGAGGCCCATCTCTTACAATGCATTGTAAAAATGTTCTTTTAAATTGCCATGCTCAGTTCAGTTATCGGTCCAACCATTGGCAAAATCCTAAAACAAATGGTGAAATGGATAAAGAAAGCAAGAAAAAAGCAAATGAAGCAAATTAACATCCAACCTAGTGAGTTGCACCTGCATGACCCACAGGAGGCCAAAGTTGATTGTATAGATATTAGCCAACACATTTTATGACGAATCATATCATGAGTGTGGCGGGGAGCTTGATACACTTTGAAGTTGATGCAAATGTTCCAATCAGCGGCTTAACGTGACCTTGGTTTGGCACCACACCATCACATTGTCTCCCATTGGGGTGGTGAGACTTGAAACAGGAGTAAATGATTCAATGAAAAGTAGGCAGCAGTGCTAGATCTACCGCAGATCGGTCACTTGCGTTAATTTTCCCAACTGTGGTAACTATTTGATTATATAAAAAGTTGATAAGCGTACAGAGCCTGGTGTAGAGCACGGTAAGCGCTAAATAAAACAATTATAGTTTTCATTCAGCTTCCCCTGCATCACATTTTATGTCTAGTCAACCTCCATGAGACTAAGAATAAGATACTAGAAAAAGAAAGATAAAGACGAGGAACCAATTTATCACTGATCAAGGATGGAGAAATAAGTGATAAATTGTCAGCGGGCAATCTATGTATAATTTTTTTTTAAAGATACTATTTGTTAATTATGAGTAACAGATATTATATATAAAATTCATCCGTCTTTAACGAGATAAGATTATGACAGGGATATCATCACGTCCTTCCCAGTGGTCTTTTTATAGACAAGGTCCACTGTACCTACCACCATAGGCAACTTATTCAGTACACGAGTTTTTTTTCCATGTTCTGGTAACATTTTTTTAAAAACTCTGGTGTCCTCATGATACGGTTCTCAAAAACTGGATTAAAGCATTTACTGTACAGTAGCATATTCTTATACCAAAATATCGTGCACTTTGAAATGAATGAAGAAATATTTAACCAGGCAGAGAAAAAGTACTTTCCCGAGGACATACGTTGAGTTATAATCAATAAAAATATGTAAATCAAATCCACCATAATCACTAACTTGATCAGTTGATTCAACTTCAATATACACAAGGTCTATCATAGTCACTGAATGTCCCAACTTCTGAATCACTTTATTATCATTGTCTAAATCTAAATCACTTTGCCTTCTCCTGCCAACTTTTACATTCACTTGCCATGATGATGCTATTTCCAAACTGTTAGATCCAACAATGACCTCAACAAGCCAAATAACGAACTGTTTTAAAAACTTTCACAACTGTTAAGACACAAATCTTGGTAAATGAACAAGTTGCTAGCTGTTAAGAATTACTTGGATTAAACTCAAATAAACTTAGTATACCCCCCGCCGCAATGCCACTGATTGAAGTGTCTTTAGGCCATTCCCAAAGGGGGGACATTTCTCGTTCAAGCATAGTAGAATTGTAAATGGGCTGACTCATGTCACGCTCATAACTGTGCCTGATCTACAACAGGGAACTGCTGCTTTTTCTTTCCAGATCCCTACTATTGTCATTTTCCTTTACTTCTTTTGTATGTTTGTCACTCTCTTGTGACGTGCTATTTTGGGGTGCCTTGATAGTCGAAACAGACCTTGTGCTGTCGAAGCTAGAGAGGTGAGCAGTCTAAGTCTGATTCCCTGTAAAAAGACCTCTGTTGACACCCACCCCTAGGCGCTCATATGACCTTATGCAGTTGCGAGCGCCGTAAAACCCTCTACTATTTTTTTTTTTTAAACTTAGTATGGTGAAAGACTTTGCTTACACAGAGGTGTGGCCCAACACAGACTATATACACTATATTTTTTTGGTATGGCACCATGCAATACATCCAGTTTTGTATTGTAGCAAAAATGTTAATCAATTGAGATTGAAAGAAAGATACTTGCAAGGAAGAACCTTACCTCTGGTGTCAGTCAAAAAGGAGAAGGAGAAAAATTGATCATAAAGTAACTATTATGATATTGCAAGTAATGAGAGATTTATATGAAAATCAAATTCAGCGAATTGAAAAATTGTAACCTAAAACTGCAGCCTATCTCCAGAAACGCAATTCTTTTAACTTTAAATATGGATGAAGCCAAGAAAGAAGCCCAGAGGCTGCAAACATCCACAAATGGACATGGAGCTTTTAAAGGTTCAAAATGTGGCAAACTCTTCTCTGCCAGAATTGATCTCATCAGCCACAGCAGAAGCCACAAGTCATCCTAACCTTTAATTTTTCTATTTCACAGGAGAAATATTCTCCTTTGCAGATGTATTGATCGTCATCAGACATTGACGTACAAGCTATTATTATTATTATCAGCATTATTATCAAATATGGATGATAAAGAGCACTTGCTCAAGACCAAGAGAATAGACTAATGACTATTTTAGTCTGGTAAGACTCAGGAGGAACTTTGGAAGATAAGGATCTGGTAACAACACTTTGCACAAGAGAATAGTTAATGGTAAGAAATTTCTCAATCGCATTCATTCAGTTATATGCAGCGCAAATGAAACCTAAGTGACTTTCATCAATGAAAAGATATGATTAATCACAAATTTTAATAGTAGATACACGTTAAGAATACTGTACTTACAAGTACTCGCTTCATCGTTAGAGTCTCGTTCATCCATCATATCTGTGTCTGGGTCATCATTAGTGTCACTTTCTTCCTCCTCTTCACATTCTTCTTCATCTTCTTCCTCTTCTTCTTCTTCCAAATGCTGCAATAAAATGAGATTGGTCAAGATCATACAATCAGCAAAGGACATCTTTCCCATATTTTTATAACCATATATAGGAACTTCAAAAAAAGGTATAGTTTTGGGGTTTGAGAAAATTTATTGATAAACATCGGTAGCGGTAGTTTCTCAACGACCATACCAGTCAACATCTCCATCCAAAATAAATACAAACTTTTCAACAATAAGTGGCTTAAACGCGGACAAAATCGGAGTTACAGTGAAGTCTACTTCACAATAAATTGGTAATGTAATACTAACTGTAACTACTAGATTAGCAAAGGTCTTTTTTGACCATTGCTCATTACTAGCACATCCACACACTGATCTACACTAATTCAGTCAGTAGCTGCTTTAACTAGCTGCTATCTCAAAATGCCATATTGGCAGTATAAAGCATGGTTTGACAGCACTTCTTGAAGTGGAAGGGGAAAGAGTGATCAGCAAAACAAGAAGGGCAGTACAAAAAAATGCTCAAAGGAGGAGTGTTAATTAAGTATAACAGAATTTTGGAGAGTACACCTATCAATAACTTATGGGTACTTTTTTTTTGTTTTAGGAAGGTTTTACAGTGCTTGCAACAGCACAAGGTCATATATCATGAGCGCCATGGGGTGGATGTCAACAGAGAAGTCCAAACAGGGAATCAGGCTTACTCTGCTCACCTCTCTAGCCTCAACAGCACAAAGTCTGCTTCGACTATAAAGGCACCCCAGAAATAGCAGTTCACAAGTGAATGGCAAACATACAAAAGAAGTAGAGGAAAAAATGACGTTAGTAAGGATGAGGAAAGAAAAAGCAGCAGTTCCCCCTACGTTGTTTCGGCACAATATGAGCATGACATTGATAAATCAGCCCATTTATTTACAATTACTGTGCATAAGAACATGTTACTATCCCCCCTTTGGGAATGGCCTAAAGACTACTTCAGTCAGTAGCACAGCCCTGGTGGGGGTACCAATAATTTAGAATCATGATACATGTGTTAAACTTGAACTGTTTAGCAGAGCGTTAGATTTTTAGAAGGGAGTGCTTATTTAGGCCACATATGGCCTAAATAAGGTAAGGGAGGGGGGTTTAGCTTATTTAGGCCACAGTGGACTGTGGCCTAAATAAGGTAAGGGAGGGGGGTTTAGCTTATTCAGGCCACAGTGGACTGTGGCCTAAATAAGGTAAGGGAGGGGGGTTTAGCTTATATAGGCCACACATGCTCAAACTACCCTTTTCAGGCAACTGAGTTCATTCCACTTTCATAATGGTGCACCTTTCTCATTTAGTACGGTTTTGTCTCAGTGTACAACTTATAAATCATAACCATAATGAATATTGTAAAGAACAAAGCACAATACGCAAAATTTTGCTCAATCCCAATGGTTTGAATGAGGGCCAGATTTTTCCTTCATGGAGGGGCAAAAGCTAGGCTACCATTTTGGCACACTTTGGTCAAGTGAAAAGGTCAAATCCTCCGAATGGACTTCCGGGTTAAATTTGGGGTATAAAAAGTGTGTACACTACGTGGCTGAGTCAAAGTTACACTATCTTTGTCTGAGTGACACTCTCTCTTACTGTCTCGTAGTAGTACATGTAGGCTAGTAGGCCTAGTAGTAGTAGTAGCAAAGATCGTGTAGAGAATATTTGGTAGTAGATTCTATCTATAGGCAGTTTAGTGAACGTGCTCGCAGCAGGGCGAATCGGCCTCGATAAGCCCGTAGACTTTTGTGATCGGCCACGACGCCTCGTGTTTTGATGGGTCTAGATCTAGATCTAAACAACTCAGTGTTAATCACACTGCCACATCCGACAGGCCTAGATCTACATCTTTTTAAAAGGAAAACAAAGATCATCAAAATGGTTGAATTCGCGTGAAAATCGATTCGGTAGAACTAGAACTATTAAAATTTGCTTCTGAAAACAAGGCAATTTTTATACGAAGGCCATTTTTATAACTCGGTGAAATAAAAACTACTGGCTGTGTACTGTGTTATGCTGTATAAAAATAAATTATGAAACTTCAGGACGCATTATTATTTTCCAGCATCTTTTGACGCCTGAGCTGTAGAGGTTGAAGTTTTCACAACACTAATAGATCTAGTAATAGGCCAGGTAATAGGGCTTTCCGTAAAAAATGCATAGATCTACAAAAGCCGAACCACCGAATCGACCGAGCACCTCGCTCTCCCCTGCACACTGTGATAACGTGTTGCTTCGGTATCGCATTATTCAACTATTAATACGTGCGGCTATGGCAATTGGGATGTACTGACTGACAAAAAATTCAGTTTTGTTTTTATTTTACCATATATTTGACTTAAATAGTGCAGGCGATAGCAAGATCTAGATTCCCTGTCTAGAATCAGTAGTAGCAGGCCTATGCTAGAAGTAGCCAGAGAGCCTACAACTGCTAGATCTAGATCTAACTTATTATTGCTATGCCTTTGGGCTTTGGAATTGAAATAAAACGAATTGCACAGTTCTAGTTACTTTTAGATTCAGCAAGTAACTGTATTTCCAGAGTTAATAATAACAAATCTCAGCATAACAATCACTTTTACTTTTATTAGAATAATTAGATCCAACTTTTTTTCTAAAATCTGTTTTGCGCAAACTTAAGATTTTCTCTACTTGTAGAGCAGAGAATTTACATTGTAAGCCTCTGCTCAGTCTTTTAGTATACATATAATAAAATACACACACACACACACATATATATATATATATATAGAGAGAGAGAGAGAGAGAGAGATCTATATCATCATTTTATGTTGTTTTCGGGATATTTTTAAAACTCTTTTTTTTCAACATGTCATAAAATCAAATTGTGTCATTTTCTTTGAAAAGAATAGCATTAGCAGTGGACTTTTTAGAAAGCGAATCTCTGATTCAATATTTTAAAAAAAATATGCTAATCAATGAAAATTGCAAATTGATAATAGTTTAGTCCTGAAGAGGATAGGTGGACTCCGGGGTCTGCAAAGCGAAATACTAGGTTTTAGGATGTAAACCCCGGAGTCACCGTAGTGAAATAAGGTTTGGTTTAAGTAAGGATTGGTGGACCCCGGGGTCAACGTAGTGATAAATAAGCAGGTTTAAGGTGGACCCCGGGGTCTACCTAGCGAAATACTAGGTTTTAGGACAGGTGGACCCCGGGGTCACCGTAGTGAAATAAGTATGTTTCTTTAAAGATTGGTGGACCCCGGGGTCAGCGTAGTGAAATAAGTAGGGTTAATTTTAAAAGGATTGGTGGACCCCGGAGTCACCATAGCCGTAGAGGAATAAGGTTTAATTAAGGATTGGTGGACCCCCGGGACACCTTGATTAAACCTACTTATTTTACTGCGGTGACCCCGCAGGTTCCACCTATTCTAAAAACCTAACTAGCATTTCGTTAGGTAGACCCTGGGGTCCACCTTAAACCTACCTATTTCACTACGTTGACTCCAGGGTCCACCAATCCTTAAAATTAAACCTAGATCTACATGTACTTATTTCACTACATTGACCCCAGGGTCCACCAATCCTTAATTAAACCTAGATCTACTGATTTCACTACATTGACCCCGGGGTCCACCAATCCTTAATTAAACCTATATCTACTTATAATTTCACTACATTGACCACGGGCTCTGCCAGTCCTACTATAAAATAAACTGAGATCTACTTATTTCACTATGTTGACCCCGGGGTCCACCAATCCTTAATTAAACCTAGATCTACTGATTTCACTACATTGACCCCGGGGTCCACCAATCCTTAATTAAACCTATATCTACTTATAATTTCACTACATTGACCACGGGCTCTGCCAGTCCTACTATAAAATAAACTGAGATCTACTTATTTCACTATGTTGACCCCGGGGTCCACCAATCCTTAATTAAACCTAGATCTACTGATTTCACTACATTGACCCCGGGGTCCACCAATCCTTAATTAAACCTATATCTACTTATAATTTCACTACATTGACCACGGGCTCTGCCAGTCCTACTATAAAATAAACTGAGATCTACTTATTTCACTATGTTGACCCCGGGGTTCACCGATCCTTAGTTAAACCTAAATCTACTACTTATTTCACTACGCTCACTCCGGGGTTCACATCCTAAATCTTAGCATTTTGTTAGGTAGACCCCGGGGTCCACCTATCCTTTTGGCTAGATAGACCCCGTAGTCCGCCTATCCACTTTCTTGATAATAACTGAAAACAATACATGCCAGTTGTCATGAATAGTGAAGAAAAATGATGGAAAAAAAAGACAATGAGGTAGACTATAATTTATCAAAAAAATTGCAAGTGCAAGTGAAGATCATAAAATAATTTTGTTATTTTCTGGTCATCTTTCCCGGTTTATAAAAAAAATTCAGTGGGCCTACTACTAGATCTATGTCTCTGAAGAACATTTTGCTTGCCTTTATTAGCTTTTTTCATGTACATGAAAGCATAGAATATATAGTTTCACACAAATATATGCACAATACTTTGAAAAAGAAAGATAAAGTCATTGTTTTTTTACGGAATCCGTTTTACGTTGAGAAAAGCGCTAAAAACAAGTTAAAAATTTTAAAGAATGCCCATAATATTAGTCTTAGGAATCCGAAATTACTACCTAGTTGGCTTACTCTTTAATAACCATGAGCAGTTAAGAAAAAAAAAGACAATGATATAGGATTTGTCTGTGACTTTGTATAAAGGTGTGGCCTAAATAAGGTAAGGGAGGGGGGTTTAGCTTATTTAGGCCACAGGCGTGGCCTAAATAAGGTAAGGGAGGGGGGTTTAGCTTATTTAGGCCACAGGTGTGGCCTAAATAAGGTAAGGGAGGGGGGTTTAGCTTATTTAGGCCACCTGTGGCCTAAATAAGGTAAAGGAGGGGGGTTTAGCTTATTTAGGCCATATGTGGCCTAAATAAGGTCACCCTTTTTAGAAATAGGGTCTCCTATAGACTGTCCCGTAGGATTATGCGATTGTGCGGCCGAGACCGCGCTTTTTCGCGTAATTCTTCTACATTTGCATAATTTTGGATTCCCTGCGCTTTATCTGAATTTTCACGTTTTTTTTCATTTTTCACATAACAATTAACGCCACGCCATGTGACTAAAGGGAAGTAATCAATGTAATAAGTCTCATTTAAGTGAAAAGTTGGTTATTTCCCTTGTTAGAAGATCTTGATTAATGGTTATGGGTTAGGGCTTTTGTTCCTTGAGTTTGAGCATGTTCTAATTTTTCAATCCATCAAAAGTTGTTCTCATGTCTGCTGATGTTTCATGTTTGACAGGTGTCCCTGTTTTTAGTGATGTGCCAGCATCAGAGGTCCAGATGTCCTTTTTTTATTTTTCCATTTTTCTTTCCTCTATAGATCTACAGCTGAAAGTTAAAGAGTGAGAGATTATATTTTTCTGTTGTTTTTTTCTGACTGATGTGTATTGTTTTCTTTCCAAATTACTGATACTGATATGTTCTGTTTTCAATTTTTCTGTACATAAAACATGAAAATTCTTGTTGAAAAAATGCAAAACATGTCGCGAATGGTGTTACGGTAATTTGCATAATTTTGCATTTTTCTTGCATAATTTGGCAATCTAAATTTGCATAATTCTACGGGGACAGTATAGAGGGCTAATAAACATAATCAATGACAAATACAAATATTGCGGATCAAAATTGACAATCTTACCTCTGATGACTTTCCAATCGGGACAAGGTTGTTGTCTTTCATTGCAATAGCATTCATCTGCAATATCATGATAGAAAAGAAAAGAATGCATGAGTGTAAACAGATTGTCACAAGACAACTTATCATTAATATCGCATGAAAAGAAAAGTAATTTTCTTTAGTTCAGCCTCTGCGTTTTCATTTTAAAGGTATTGCTCATTAAGTGACTGAAGAAAAAATCAGGAGTATTACAGTATTTTCTTTTGGTTTACCACTGGTTTTAGATTGATCTTCTAAGCAGACTCTACTGTATTTTCTCCACCAGGCCAAAACATTTCCTCCAAACACTTTTGTTTTTAGCTTTTATTATCTTTAAGAGTGTGTGTGTGTGTGTATGTGTGTGTGTGTGTGTGTGTGTGAGTGTGTGTGTGTGTGAGAGTGTGTGTGTGTGTGTGTGTGTGTGTGTGTGTGTGTGTGTGTGTGTGTGTGTATAACTTTTGATAGAGTGGTTCTGTGAATAATTTTTTTCACAACAGTAAACAATCCTAATCCCCTTCTCAAAGTATCTCATACACCTTAATCTCCCTCCCCCGTAGAAAGCTATAAGTTAATTACAGAAGTTGCTGTGGAACAAGAGGCTACAGATCAAACCCAAAGAACCTTTTACTTTGCCTACTAAAAACTATATCTCAGTCTCAGTAAGAACTGGAGGCTGTTCAATCTGCACTAGCCAATGCAGAAACTGTCTTTTCTGGCGGCATTCCCCACAGCCTAAAGTAACGCTCACTCACGGTACCATGGAACTTTCTGGAAGTCATGCAAGGACCTTACAACAAATGGACCCTCTTCTCTCTGAGGCAAACATAGTACCTCTGATCGAGATTTAGAGCTGAGATGTGATTGTATGTAAAGTATGTATGAGCGAAGATGACCTATGACTATGAAGTACTTTTTGTTCAGTAAAGTATGACCTAAAAAAATAGGGAACTTAGCGTATTAGTCCCTTCAGACTTCAGAGTAGAATCTTAGAGGTGACTTTTATAAGTAGGAATTTGTGTGTGTGTGTGTGTGTGTGTGTGTGTGTGTGTGTGTGTGTGTGTGTGTGTGTGTGTGTTTGTTTTGGTTTATTTGGGGGGGGGGGGGGGGGGTCAAGCAATGGATTTTAAGTGATGGGATCATAAACGGTGGCATCTTTGGCAGAGACTATTAAGACAGATTTAAATCGGGTAGAGTTTCTATTAAAGGAGACTCAAACCCCACTCCGATCCCCATCATTTGATATGATTTGATGTCATTTTTTATACACTTTCTTTAACAGAGAAGTTATTCATTATAAATTGTTGTTTTGCAGACGTACTCTGTCTTTTTTTTTTCAATATGGAGCCGCTAGATATCTACATTTAGGCAACAGTAATAACAAAGAGGTGAATAGGTTTTAAAACATAAAATAAGTCTGATTCACTTATTGAAGTCAATAAACTTTGGTGTGTATGACTAGTATGAAAACAAAATACATGTGTATAGAGACCTAGACTCTAGATCCAGACCGTGTCCCACCAAGATACAAGTTTGTTTAGCATGCACTCACAATGGAAAGCAATCTACCCATTAAATAGTTGTTGTTTTTCAATAAAGTATCTCCGTCTTTCTGTTTGAGTGTTGTACACTTGAACAGAACACAGGTGAAAGGCATTTTTATTACTGACTTGCCTAATCTCAAGGACCTCAGAATAAAACCTTTGTTATCTAGATTTCAGTGCGAGAGTAAGGCAGAGCACAGCGTAGGTTGACCATATTTCCGCTGCAAGAGAGGGCTTCTATCAGGCGTGCGTTGCCGGCCACAGAGCAGCCTCCATTACTGTGTAACTTCTTTGACGTCATGTCATTCTCAGAGGTTCTTCAATACAAATAGATACACTGACCAGTCTCTCTTGAATTCTGAGCAAAGGGTCAGCTTTTAGAAATTTGATGAGAAAAGTGGCCTTGCCTTTGACAAACCAGCTTTTCTTCAGCCTTCAGATCCAAATTATAAAAATAAACAAACAAGGAAGGCCACATAATTTCTAGTCCTTCAGTTCTCTTTTGTCAGAGTCTGTCGTCACCATAATCTACCTCTTGATAAGGATTGTGATGTAAAATAAAAACTTTCGTTTTTGTAAATCAATAAACTCAACTGAACATGCCTCTACCCAGAATCGAACCACGTACAGTTGAACCTGTGTAAGACGGAATCGCAAGGGAGCCAGAAAAAAATTCCGTCTTAGACAGGGGAATTTAGGTGGAGATGGAGGTTGGGGGGGGGATTCAAAGGCCCAGCCGGTGGGATCAAGGATCGCTTATACGATCCGCAAGCAGTGGTCAAAACTTCACACCTCTCAATTGCTATCCTGTCTGATAATGACATGCGACAGTCTTACTTATCCAATTACCACCAGTGCTTGCCTTTCATAGGACCACTGTTTGACCTATTAAAAACAAAAACGTTTGAACATCTCCTTTGCTTCCACCCTTATCACCACCCACCAATGTCACCCCTTACTGCCATCATTGTAACAACGATTCGAGGAACTCTTTTCTCGGCTGGCCATACGATCAGGGCGGCAGGCATTGGTCAATCTAATTTCACACCTCTGGCTTCTGGATCCAGGAAAGTTTCCGTAGGGGCTCGCTACTCGAGCACTCTCATGGGCAGTCGTGAGATTTAACACCCACACTACACTGACCATCTGCATCGCTCAGGGCTCACATGATGGGGTAACATCTACCTCCAAATTGTACCCCTACTCCTCTTCCTCGGCCAGCTGCATGACCAAAGCGTTAGTTTAGAGCCAGTGGAACCAAACTTGCGAGTTTTGTTTCAAATCAGGGCTGAGCGGGCAAAGCATTTTCCGTCTTAGACAGGTGAAACCCTCAGAAGGGAGCGGATTTTTCTTTCCGTTTCCGCGTTGGACAGGTTTCCGTTTTATACAGGTAATTAAAGAGGAATATATCAAGGGGGGAGCGGGGAGATTCCGTTAAGACAGGTTTCCGTGTTATACAGGTTTCCGTTAAGGCAGGTTCGACTGTAGTTGGTTCGAGAAGTCACAAGTGAACTTTGTAAGTACCCGTAACTACTGAGCCCTGAGCCTTTTCCAGTTTCTAATCTACTTAAACACACACTTCAAAAAAGAGAAAAAATAAAATGGTGGTGAAAAAAATTACAGACTAGTGTCTCCAGTCACATATATCATACAGCACAACACAGGGTTTCAGAACGGCCAGCACTATTCCGACTCGATTCCGATTAAGATTCTTTATAGATCTATTATTTTATTTATTATACTTCCACCACCATTTGTCTTTCCACATTATTTAATTTCATTCTGTTGTGTGTTATATCTTTCTGTAATGAATTTTTTTCAAAATCACATCGCACAAAACCGACAGCCGTGGCCTCTTCCCAACACCTCTTCCTCCAGCAAGCCGAGAGTGCATGATCGCTACGCGCAGTCTCAATAGTCAACACACACACACACACACAAAGTCAACTCAACTTGGTTGTTCTGTTCATACTTATGATGCAGGGAGGGTCAGTTTAGATAGATCTAGTAACTGGATATTAAAGCTCATGTCTCGATTGTTATCATGATTATAAGGCTGGCACTATTTCTCAGAACGTTCGGGAAAATAAAGCTGGGCACTATTTCTCCGAACATTCGGAAAAATAAAGCTGGGCACTATTTCTCCGAACACTCTGAAATCACATCCTTTCCACAAATTTCGGATACTATATAGATCTATAATTATAATATAGGCCTACCAAAGGTTGTTTTCATACAATATGGTTCAATCGGTCCAAAAATTGTCCGCAGTAAATATTTATAAAGAAACGCTACAGTTCCAAACAGTTTTTCGCTACAGATATGACGTGTTGCCTATGAATCTATGAAGGGTGCTGCTCTTAAACTAAATGTGTTGTGTTCACTCGTGTGCTGTCTTGTCTGGATCTACGGAGGGTTATTGATAACGACACATAGAACTAGCATAGATATCTGCGTTTGTCGCGGCCGCGACCAATCAATCGTGGCTCGATTTTTTGGCATTTTTTGGTCCCTAAATCGGAGAATAAAAGTCAAATAAAAGAAAAAAAGAAAAAAAGAAAGAAACCGAGCCTCTTTACTTTTGAAAGAAAGTTCACCTAGCTTCACTTCGTCTCTTTCTCACTTGTTGTCACCACGTTGATTTGTTGAATACGTTACAGTTATTTTTATTTGTGGTGTTTTATTTTGTTAGTGTGTATTTTTTTCTTTCTTGTAATTGTTCTGATGTGTTGTTTTTCTATCACTTTTTTTTTTGATGGGGGAAAAAAAAAAGGGGGGGGGGGGGGTGTTATATAGTGTAACGTCATTTAATTTGATGTTCCTACCTTCATTAGATTCTAAATATATAACATGTATAAATATATAGATTTAAATGTGTTATGTTAGAGTTAGAGCGTACGTTCTACCAAAACCGATCACATGTACTGACACTGGCAGGCCCCTTAAATGTGTGCGATTCCATAATTTACTTGTAATATCCTGTACTTTGTTTTAAAATTACGCACATTTCTAAAGTGTTAAAACTAAAACAGACAGTCTTCTTCAGACAGGTGGACTCACGCCCTTATTTGTTAATTTTTGTGTTTGTTTATGGGCTGTTCTAATTTTGATTTCATTCTGTTGTGAAACCTTTCTTTTTCACGTTTTTACACTCATCTAAAAATCTCTAGACTAGCCAGACTAGCTCTTGAAAATTGAAATAGAAAAAATAGACCTAAAATTTGCTCTTGTGTATGTGTGTGTGTGTGTGTGTGTGTGTGTGTGTGTGTGTGTGTGTGTGTGTGTGCATGTGCGTGTGTGTGCATGTGCGTGTGTGAGTGTGTCTGTGTGTGGTAGTAAAGTGTGTAAGTGGAGAGTGAGGAGCGTGCGCGTGTTTGTTTTTCGGGCTTTATTCAGTAACAGTTCAAAGTATACAAAAATAGAAACACAGGATCCATTCACTCCAGGTCTCATGAGTCGTTACTCTCTTCCAGTTTCACTCATTCATTCAATTCCCGTGTTCTCTCCCGCGGCTCATCCCCGTCCAGATGATTTTCACACCCCACCCCCTCCCTTCAGGCACACACAAGGAAAATCTCACTCATTCCCTTGCTCCCTGCAAACCATGGACAATAATATAGGCAAAACACTGCCTTAGCCGCATTCCTTTCGTTCGTGAGCTGTGGACCATGCCAGGGGGATCGGTGTTGTCGTCTTGTAGTTGCTGTCGCCTGTGGATACACTCGTACATTCTTCCTTTCACCTGCTCTTTCACTCATACTGTCTCTCCATTCTCAGCTCAGCTCGTCATACGTTCAAAAGTTGCCCACTGATCATGTTTAGTTAGTGTGTGTATAAGTTTGTGTGTGTACATGTGCATGATGGTGGTGGATGTGTGGTGGGTGTTACTGAAGGTTGTCTGTAGGCGGGCTTGCCATGTGGTGTTCCTTCCCAATCCCAGACCAGAGACAGAATGAAAGTTGGCGCCGAACTCTCACAATAATAAATAGGCCAAAAATCACGAGACCGGAAGCCGGAAACCGTTCGGAGAAATAAAGATCGGCACTATTTCTCCGAACGTTCGGAGAAATAGTCACTTCGTTATTATAATCGAATAAATTTTCACGAAAGCTGGAAATATTTGGCATCAAGGGTCGGAAGTCAGAACGGACGTCATGCTGGACTGAATTCAGAGTCAGAATATAATTTTTGCATATTCGGACTCGAGTCTTAATGGTCACTTCGTTACAGAACATCCCCATCTTCCAAGAGAAAACAGGTCTACTCTAGACATTTTTACATGGCAAGTATCGTTATAATGAGTTTAAATTAGGATTCTATCTATAAAAAAAGGCCACCTCTATTCTCACCCGGGATGAGAATAGTGCAGGCTAGTCTTTTGGCTATTCTCACCCGGTGCGCGTTCACCGTTATAGCCTAGATCTAGGCCAACAAATTTTGCGTTCACCCTAAACCACAGAATTCTACACTGTGATAACAGAAAAATTGTAGAATTCTGTGCCGTGAACAAACGTTCCATTACAACTGTAGCCTACTAAAAGCGTACAATTTTGTATGTGGGCAGTGGAGAGAGAGAGAGAGAAAGAAACAGAGAGAGGAGTAGCGCGAGAACTTCCGGTCAAAACAAAATGGCGACCCGCGTAGTTCGGCTCGATTCGAAAAGTTAAATAGCCGTAGCATCTTTGTAGACAACCACATTAATTTACTTTTGTGTTTTAACATCATTTTTTAACTTTGTTTTGGTCAATTTGATCGTCCACACCGATAGACAGTATTCAGAAAGAGACAGAGAGAGAGAAAGAGGGGAGGAGTAAAACTTCCGGGCAAAACAAAATGGCGACCCGCATAGTTCGGCTCGATTCGAACAGTGAAATAGCCATAGCATCTTTGAAGACGATCAAATTAGCTTACTTTTGTGCTGTAACGTAATTTTTTCTTGGCTTTTATCAATTTGACCATCCACATCGATAGAAAGTATTCCGAAATGAGGAAAAACATGTCTTGTTTCAAACCGGGTGAGAATAGCCTACGGCCGCAAGTCTCACCCGGGGTGAGAGGTCGATCGTATTTCTATTCTCACCCCGGATGAGAATAGCCACTTCCATAAAAAAAAAGAATTTTAGTACTGATAATTTAAAAAATTTCTGTCAAACCTACCCAAGCTTGGTGTTTCTCCTCCAGGGCTGCCAGTTCGGACTCGTCATCTTTTGGTTTATCAACATTAAACCATAATGGATCATTCACGCTAGGCAGCAAGGAAGGAAAAAAGTGCTGTGACATCTTGGGTCAACTGTTAACAGCGATGGATTTCCCTTTTTTTCCAAAACAGTAGATCTAATTTAAAAGTAAAAGGTAATGAAGGTAAAAGGAGGACAACGACGTCGGAAGATGCTTGTCACAATGTTGGTTACAGTCGGATGAGTGTTTGTGGACACTGCAAAACTTGATCTCGCTCAACTAATCAACATGGGTTGTTTCGATCTTAGTGTCCATCAGAACAATCGTAAAATTACACTAAAAAGCACTTGTACGCGGTCAGTCCTGTCTAAGTTTACCAATAATATCGTGAATCAAACAATATTTTTTTAAAAGTCAATAGAAAGCCTTGATTGATGTTCCGAGTTCATAATAGAGGTTAATGGGATGTAACTCTGATGTCTTTTCATACTTAATCTAGAATCTAGATCTAGTAAAATTAACTTTATGCATTAAAGAGCGCTGTGACAACTGTGAACATATTTTTAATTTTGCCTATTTTTATACTTTCTTGATGCTCTAAAAATTTGACAAAAGTAGTTTCAAGCATAATCGTTTTGCCCTGAACATACTTTTATACAAACAGGGAAACGAATAATTTTATTCAGGCGTTTTAGTAATTCAATGAAACGAAATAATAAACTAAACAATCCATGTTTTACATAAACATTATGGGAGGAAAAGCGTTGACCTAGGATACGGCTGTGGAAGAACAGGAAAGCGCGTAGGCCTACGACGATTCTCAGTTTCGTTGATCCCCTCGAAAGTCATCTTCCGTTCAAATCTCAAAATGACTTATGATGCGAAACGCAAGCACCTCTTTCAGATAGAATTCCCTTTCATGGCCAAGATTGTCTGTGGGCTTCCATTATTTGCGACGCTCTTCTGTGTGATATGGTCGATTATATTTGACTTCAAACAAGCTACTGCAACACATTGTCGGGTATGATTCTGAATCTGAATTAGATTCTACATGATCTGTCTAATCTAGAGATCTACCATGCTGTCGAAGTTGCTTTTTCCTTTATAATTTTTTCCCCACAGGTCTTCATGGGAAGTAGATCTAGATCTAGATTTCTAGACCTTTTGTAGTTTGAGTTTCCCCCAAAACAACCGAGGCCGCCGGGCTACGCCACAGCCTTCAATTCAAATTGCCTGTGTTTATTCAAAATTTCATTCCCCATTATCTGCAGTTGCCATCTAAGAAAGGAAGCCAAGCGTTGTTAAGTGCCTGTGCTTATTGTCTTGATCTAGAGTAATCGTACCGGTTCGGGCAGCACGTTTTTTTTTTTTGCTGTCGGGCACTGGAGTACAAAAAGATCGTTTAAAACTTTGTTTTCAAATCTAGATCTAGCCCCAAAAGAGTGGCACACAAACCTAAAGCAACCTCCCTTACTTTCGTTGAAACAACAGTTACGGCGATATTTTGCTATAAATAGTCCTTAAGACAGCTTTTTCTTCATCAACTGAGCAAAACAGCGTGAAGCTCTTTCCCCGGAAGAGTTAACATTGGTTGTGGATGAAGGAGCCTGTGACCTAGATTCTACGTTTTGGTAGACTCTGAAGGCTGGAGAGTTATTTGCATATGAGGCCCTGTCAAGGATGAAAAAGAATTTGCTGTTTAGTCTCGCCGTTTTTGCCCAAAGGGGAGGTGCCCGGATTGTAACATAAAATCCGTAGTTTCTCATCCTTCGGGCACATAAGATAATATAGAGCCAATGGTTATATAACAAAGTAAAGAATAAAGAATTTGTGCATAATTTAAATAATAGTAGAGTCAGATACAGCATATTAACTCAGTCAGACACCAGTGTAATACAGTCAGATACCAGTGTGTAATACAGTCGGATATCAGTGTAGCCGAGTCAGATCCAGTGTAGTTGAGTGAGCCAGATGCCAGTGTAGTAGAGTCAGATACCACGTAGTAGAGTGGGTCAGATACATACTCATTAAAATAGCTATAAATGGTGAATACCACTTTAGACAAACTATCATTGTGTCCAAGTGTTGATAACAAACATTAAAAATCATGTTATTAAGCTTGCAAAGAAACAAATGTGATAATAATTGAAAATGACCGAATGTCAAAATACTGCCCGAATCCATGAGAAAACCAAAAAAATGCGACCGAACTCGTAAATAAATCGGGCGTCTCTTTTGCACCCAGTAAGGTCCTCAAACATGAGAACAAGCTGAAACAGGTCATTCCTGGGGTCATCCAATCACATGACTTCCTGTAGCTGGTTTCGATTTGTTTCTAGGGCAAGGCAGATTGGAGATATAAAGCTTGAAAGTCGACGTGCCTGTTTTCGTCCTTATTTTGACCGAACCGGTAATATTACTCTAGATCTATATCAAGAAAATCTAGATCTTCTAATCAGTTAAAAGTCAGATCTGGAGGATCAAGTCTGGTAAGGAAGTAGGACTTGCAACAGATGAATATGTGTGTATACATGGCTTGATACATGGAATTTTTTTGCCTATGACTATGCGTACGGCCCTCTCGTATGTCTCGTGGCTCATGGCTATGCCTATGACCCTCTAAAGTATAGATTTAGATCTAGGTTTTTTTTAGGGCCCTGAACATGATTTTGGAAAAAAATGGTTAGTTTAGATGTTGCGGCACATCATTATGGGGGGCCTGAACCCCACCCCTACAAAGCTATTATAATACATACTCGCTCTTCAGGGTGGAGACCCCCTGAAACCTCCCTTATGACTACAATAGCATGCATAGAAAAAAAAAACCAAAATATCGTTTTTATTGGCGCAAAATACGTCTTTAAAAAACGGCTTGGATAGCAGCCGTGAGACGGGAGTAATTCTATAAAAAATACCGATTATTTTCTTTTGGAAAGGTTTTAAGTGAGCCGTAAGCATAGCCACGAGGCTATGAGCACAGGAGCCATATACGCATAGCCACTTTGAATTTTTTTAATTTCTTCTGCCTTTACGTACATGCTTTGCTTCCCGGAATAGTTGCTGTCTAATAAAATTATAAAGCTGTGGTCAAAGTTTTTAAAAAATGGAGTCCTTCCAGCTACTGTGTAATCTATCTGACATTCCTTTGTTGGAGAGGATAAGATTCAAATGCAAGAAAAACCCCACATATATATATATATATATATATATAGTGTTCCAATATGAGATTGAAACACGATCCCTTTGATTTATGATGTGTCACGATGCGGTGGAATCAGACGCTCATCAATTTTTGGTCATTTGGAGTTATTGGTGTCAAGTGCAAGCTTGTTTATTTGTCTTGCTTTGGATGCAAAAAATACTCATCTATCTTGAATAGAAGTAGTGATATATATGCGAATGAAGGAGGTGGGCTCTCCTGGTTTCAGAGGTAAAATTAGCAAGAAAATGTCCGCCAAAGTTTTAATACTTCCATAGCTTGAGATGCTATGGATGCTGAAAAATTACACTTTGAGTGCTTTCCTGTAGTCAAGGTTTTTCTATAACATCCACACTGAAATGTATTTCTAAATGGACAAAATAGTTGTTGGGCCAAAAAACCAAAATTGGATAAAAATGTCCAAACCGGTGGAAAAATGCAGATTTCTACGTTCTCATTATTTTGACTAGTGCCTGATTTCACCATGATGCCTCTCATATATTCTTTTTTACTACCCATATCTCTTTTTGTTAATTTGACATCCCCCCACCTCCCCCAAATGAGTTTGAGATAGTCCACTCCACTTGTTGCGAAGTCAGTTGTAAAGATCTTCGGACTTAACTATCTTTTTCCGTGGAATGGGCACCGATATATATATATCACAAACTTAATAAAAATTGAAACGGTTGTACCGAATTCACTACATCCGTTGTGAGGGCTGTAGTGATGCATATTCTTATCCCTGGCCCTTATAGTTTTTATAGTAAAAATACGGATTTAATGATGTTTCCCCTGTGGTTTGTTTTGACCTAACATTGATGAACCCGATGATGTTTTGTAACGTTAGGCACTTTCACACAATAGTACGAGGCATCAGACACTTAACGAGCAATCTCCCACATGATACTAGACTCTCTATTGATAACGTTACATGATAAGCGCCAAAAGCGAACACAATACTGCCTCTCTCTCACTTCGCCTAGCGCCATGAGGGATTAGTTCCCTTGAATTTTTCTTCCTATGGCTGTTGCGAACTTCGAATGTAGCAATCTTTTTCCTGGTCCCCCAACGACGACGCTACAAGCATAGTCAACTGTATTTGTTTAAATAAATACTAATTGTTAAGTATTTTTAACGATATTAAGTCAATTTCCTTTTCCTGAGAAGATATTTTTTGTATTGGATGCAGTTTGATTTAGCCATAAGTACCTATTACAGGACTACAGTAAATAGATTGGGAGAAAAGTTAATACCTGGACTTTTACTGAAACAATACATTTGAATAAATCTCATTTCTTTCATAAATATTTTACAGGTCCCTAACTATCTACCATCAGTGAGTGCTGCTATTGGAAGTTTCACACCACAACGATATGTGTGGCGTATATGCATTGCTCTTCATGCAACACCTCGGTTCATGATTGCTGTTGCTTACTACAACTATCACACTTCAGTTCATATTGGAAAGAACAATGAAGCATACAAGGCATTAGCAGCCTTGAACAGTTTATGTCACATTGTAGAGGTTGCTTCTCTTGTGGGGTTGACATTTGTATCGTCTACAGAAAACCATGGTAAGAACACTTTTTGTCTTTAATTTATTAGAAAATATTGAGTTTTTAAGAGTTATCTTGTTTTTCCCATACATATTTTGCTAAAGCTTATTGAAAAACTGCAAATCACGAAGCTGCCAGTATGTAATTATATGCTGCAGTGGCAGCCTTTCCTGGTCAACTGTTGCTCTCTAAGGTCTTGTAGTGTACATATAGGCCTACTTCAGTTCGACAGATTTGAGGTAAGTGCTTAAAACTTCCAATCGACATTATTGAGATTATTTTGAAGTCAGGGCCAGTGAAAAGAAAGGTAAAAATACTCAAGAAAATATCTGCCCCATGTTGGAGTAAAAGGTAGATAATAATATATATAACATTTTTATAGCTCATTTTCAAAAAAGTAGCTCAATGCACTTTACATTGGAATACCCATTTTCAAAACCTTTTTTACTTCTTCCTTTCTTCTCATGCAATATGATATATTTATTCATGCACACACACACACACACACACACACACACACACACACACACACACACACACAAACACACACACACACACACACACACACAGACTATTTTCATTCAGATGCAGGCACAGAACAACTATAATAAAAATAACAGTGAAAGCTTATATGAAGGATAGGCCTGCAGGAACAGAAATGAAGCTATCAAGTGTTCTTGTTTGTCTTAGTTCCATAGGTAATCTGATCCTCATAAATGGACCAAGATATGAGAAAGATCTCTCTCCATATGATTTGTATGATTTTACTGGTGTCACAAGTAGGGTGTTATCGTTTGATGATCTTAGGTTTCTCCCTGGCTTATATACTGATGAGTTCTTGTAGATAAAAAGGAGCAGTTTTGTTTACTCACTTGAAATACAAGACACTGATTTGAAATATTATTCTTTCTTGGACAGGGAGCCAATGCAGTTCTTTTAATAGTGGAGTGACAGGGTCTTGTTTTTTAGATCTTGTTATCAGTCTAGCGGCATTGTTTTGAATGACTTGTAAACGATTCAGATATTTGTTGTTCAGACCTGCTAGTCTAATTTAGATAGGATACGAGATGTTACCAATGTTTTTGTGGTCTCTTCATTTAAGCACTTTCAAACTAGGCCTTCTATCCTTCTCAGCTGAAAATAAAGGGATTTGGACAGAGATCCTACAAGAACCCATTGATAAGTAGTGATCAATATATACACCGAGATTCTTGACAACTTCTTTACTAGATACTAGGTATGAAATGCCCATATAAATCAGTGTTGACACTTTCCAGATCTTTATTTAATCGTGGATTATTTATAAGAATGATGTCTGTCTTTTCTTCGTCTAGTTTCAATTTGTTTACTATCATCCACTTTTTAATTTCATAAAAACATTGTTTAGTGATAGAAATCATGTTTGGCAGATCTTGATTGGTGAAATTAACATACATTTGGGAATCATCAGCATAAAAATGATATTTCAATCCATTTCAAAGAATAGCATTGGTTTGGTTCTCTGACTCTCAATCATGAGGACCCGTCATTGTTTCCTAAGGAAAAGCACTTTACATTAATTTTCCTTGTAAGTGTTGCCTTCACAGCTCAGCATTTGTACTGAACCTTATGATATGTTTTAGTAAAATTTATTTATAAATAATTGAGAACGATTTTTTTTTAAATAAATTTTTTCAATAAATTACACTAAGAATTGATACCTTCCTTGCCATGTTGAATTGTGTCTCGACTTTGCACTTTGTTATGTTTAAGTAGAAATAAGACTCATTAATAATTGTGAAGGATTTTATTTTCAATTAATTATACTGTGTATTAATTCCTTCCTTTGTATTTTGAACTGTCTCAACTTTGAAAAATTATTTGATTGGTTTAAGATGATGTGTTGTACAGCTGCAATGAATATAAATGCTTTTTTGTAGAATTTATTTTGTTAATCACTATATTTCATATTCTTTCTTTTCTGTGATTTCATTTTCAGATGCTCATGAACATATGTTCATCTCCTTTATGGCTGCAGGTCTCATCTACATGTTGTTGACAATCTATCTTTTCTCAAGGGGAAGGTCTCACAATGGAACACTTATGACCCACCAAGTAATGTCTTACACTATTTTGATAACTGTGACGTGAAATGTTTTATTTTTGTTTTTAAAGGTATAGAGATGATTGGGTGGGTTGTTCAGCAATTGCTATGGTTTTCATAATTCTAAAAATTTATCTTTAAAAAAATACTTGAAACCCTTTTTTAGGTAGAGTGTTTAAAGTGTAGTACGTAACCATAAGAAGATAAAACACTCTTACCTGCTAACCCTGAGGTGTCTCTCCGAAAAATTCCCAGAGCTGTGCCTTCCACGGTCCATTTCTTTAAAGGGCTATAGCTCGTTTACTATTAAGTATTAGATGTAGAAAACCTACATTAAATAAAAGAGAAATAAGCATGCAGTCCAATGGTAGAGGTATTTTGAGTTAAATCAATTCTGCTAAATAATTTGACAGGTGAAAATAAAAGAGAAAGATTTCTTTTAAGTTCTAAATGACTGCAGGGTTCCTACATCCATATTAAAGAATCGTTGTCCAAGTGGCATAGAGGAAGTCAGGTCTTTTACATCCAAGAAAACAATATCACAACATACAGGGTGATCCAAAAAAAACTTTACAACTTGTTTTGCAAATATCTTCCTCCATACTGAAGTTTTGCATTTCAGATTTGAACCTAATGTTTGGAAGCCAACAGGAATTTGTTTGATATGTATTTTTGATAAGTCCATTGAATAGTTTTGCGCTATATAGCTCAATTTAAAAAAACAAAACCCATTTTCAACCTTGTCGCCATTTTCATAGCATGGCACACCAGTTCGCTTTAGGCACACCACTAAAAGTTGCAACAATCGCGCCATATTGCAAGCTACAGCAGTCTAACAAGTCAACAGAAGTCTGCAGATATTATTTTTCCCAAATTTTGTTTTCCTTCTTAGATCATGGTTACGTTTAGTGAAGGGCAGAGAGCTTTTTGTATTGAACATTACCTCTTTAATAACTCACCATCTCTGATATTTCGTAAGTTCTGCGCACGGCATGGAGAGAATGCTTAGGTGCCCTCAAGGCCTTTGGCGTCATGAGTAGAGAAGTTCCGTCTGTTTGGATCAATGGCAAATCAGAACTAAAGAGCTCTTTAAAAAATGACCTCTTCAGGTTGAACACACACCATGCGCTGCCCTTTAAATGTCACCAGAGTGCAGATTTCAGTTGCCGAGCCCCATGAGACGTCTGTTCCTAGACGATCTGGGGCTAGGACTTTCCTACACCTCAACAATCTGCATTCTCATGGCAGATCTTAACCTACGACTATACCATGTTCATCTTTGCTAGGTCGAGATGACATGGATCAGAGCATCGCAATGTGTTCATGATTCCTCGATTGTCTTGTAAAGAGGGATCATTTCCTTGATGACATTTGGTTTAGTGCAAAGCCTATTTTCACCCTGCGGGATATGTTAATTCCCAAAAATGCTGTCTATTGGGCTTCCCACTCTATTGTCTCTAGGAGCCATTCTTAGTGAACATGTACAGTGTATGTGGCTTTAAAAACTCATGGTTTAGCAGGTCCTTGTGTTAGGGCGCCACTGAACCTTTCGAACGACACGTTAAAAATGTGTCACGTTAAAAATGTGTCGAGTCCAAAGGAGGGAATGTGGAGCACTGCTTCTAGGAATTTCAGAATGAAATCATTAGATTTTTTAAACTCTGTAAAAGAAATTAAATATTGTTTAAATGTCAAAGGGATGGAAAATTAATGTCAAAGAGAAAATAAAGAAAAACGTCACCTGATCTTTTCACGACTTCCGTTTCAAGATTTTAAAACATTCATTGGTGAACTTTGCGTTTTTGTGTGATTTTTTCTTTTAGCCGTTTCCATTTTCGAAACATGTTTCTTCTTCGTGGCTTTTATATCAAACAAATTCCTTTTGAATGAATTATGTCTGTTCCAAATTACAGCATTTAAGGTACACTCGGGGGAGGGCTGGAGTTGAAGGCAACACCGGATGACAAAAACTGAACTTAGAATTCTTAACTGCCCGGTTACCATGTACGTGACACTGAGTCTTCGTGCCGGTTGCCGGTTACCGTGTACGTAGTCGTAGACACTGAGGCTAGGTGTCCGCGTACCGTGTACGTGAACACCGCGTTATGTAAAACACCTTAAGCTGCGTTCACATGGGAGTGGGTGCGATAGAAATTATCTAGATCTACATTAGTACATGTATTACTATTGTTTATAAATGGAGAAAAAAAATTTGCTGTATTTTACGATTTGACTTTGTGTTAAAACAATACCATGCCGGTTTTAAAACAGAAAATATCTGAAATAGATCTAAATACAGATTACCGGTGTATCGAAGGTTTCAAAAGAAAAACAGAACAGGATCTGATTTGATTGGAGCATAAGCTTATTTTGTATTTAGAGGTTGTTTCGAAAATCCCTCGTCATTTTTTTGTTTTTTTATAGACTAAACCTCATACACTTCTAGATTTTTGCATGAACGAAGTACCCGGAATGTACTAAATTTGGTCAAATTTTATGCCTTTATTTAAAAGTTATTACGAAAACCGAGGGTTCCGTTATTTTGTGTCACGCGTTATCATATTATATTTGGTCAATAACTTTATTGTTAACGTACTCGTGTGTAGTTACTAGTAAATGTTGTTAACAACATTTGATGAATTTGTATTGTGGGTCATGATTTTTTAAAAGGCTGTGCTGCTTTTATGCTACCGGTACTCAAAATTGTCATGTTTTGTAAACTAAAAATGTTAAGCCCATATTAATGCCCCTGGGATGGGAAGGTTGCAATTTTTTGCAATTTTTAGGCAGTTTACCTTGCAATTTTTTGCAATTTTTCCATTTCAAAAATGCAATTTTCCGCGGGGCCAGTGTGTAGAAGCAAAGATATAAACATTTCTCTTATATTTCTGGATTAGTTCTTAAATCTTTTTATTTCATGTTGATAAGACTGCTCAGGAAAACAAAATTCTTTGAATGATTTTATCTTATTTCAAGATAATGTTTTTCTTGTACGGATGACATCTTCAAGATGCATTTCCAGTGCTTTTTTCTGTGGGAGAGGCTCTGTTTGCATCATTATCGTTTTCTTTCTTTTTTTTTTTTTCAGGAGATGAAATCACTGAAGTTGAAACAACTGTTCTTCACCTTGAATGTTTCCATTTTCCTGATCTCGGTGTACGTTTTCTTCAGACACAACTGGTATTGTGAACCTGGAGGTATGTAAATAAAAAGTTCACCTTCTTTAACCATACATCATTTGAATACAGTGGAATCCACTTATAACGAGTCCTGAAATAACGAGAAGTCTGTTATAAAGACACTATTCTAAAACCCCGGGTTTTTTCTTCTTTATCTTTGTAAATAAAATACTGTTATAGCGCAATCAGACAAACATACGAGTCGGTTATAGCGGAGTATTGCTCCTGCTGTGCTCAGCGCATAGGCCTTTCATTCATGCAAAAGCATGCCGGTTATTGGTGATCTTGCAAAACAAAGAATGGGAAAGCCCTCGTGTGCCAACAATGACGGCGGAGCGAATGAGTGGGGAGGATGTGAAATGCACAGACAAGCAAAACGCATCGCATGATAGGCCAGCCTAGTCTAGATTATCTAGGCCTTACATGCCTCTCACTTCTCCGATGCGGGGATGGAGAGGTCACTACGCTGTGACTGTGATGGATGGAGCGAATGTGTGACGTACGCAAGCAGACGGAACGCACCACACGGTGTGGTGGGGTGGGGGACAACACAGCGGGCGAATAAGCCTAGATAATTTTATTTCTGATCACTGACAAAGAGCTGTCAACATCGTTAACGCTAGAGAAAGAAACCATATTCGATTTTCGATCAAGCAAGACCTAGAGATCTTGTTGAACCAAATCATCATCAGGGGAGATAACAAAAAGAAACGAACAGAAAACCAGACTCATGAGTCGTAGATTCGGCCTACTGTACTATTTCCCTTGAATTTATTACTGGATCCCTTATAACGAGAATCCTGCTATAACGGATGTTTCGCACCGGTCCCCTCCCTCTCGTTATAACAGGATTCCACTGTATATGGAACACAAAATACAAAATACTTTTCTCCGCCTCATGTAAAGCATGGTTTCAGTAGAGTGTATTCAGAGTATTAACTGTTTAGATGAAGATGCATAAATTGGAATTTTAAAATTTGTTTTCATATTCTCATTATACTTGCACATTTGTTAAAAAAAGAAAATGTAAAATTTTTGTGTAGACCAGTATTTTTTCTTTCTTTATTTGTTCATTTGCTCTTTGAATGCTTTAATTGTTAAGAGAATGTTGATGTGTTGACACACTTGATGTCTTTGCTTTTCATCATATTACATGTTGATCCCGATCCTATCCCTTGGAGGGGCAGAATGTTAAAGAATAGAATCAGTGACTATGATCACTAGTCAGAATAGTACTTGAAATAGTTTTGAAACAGTAAAATAATAGGACAGGTCTAAGCATATATGTGAAACTTACTGTCTTGTTAACTAATACAAAAAATGAATGAAGCAGACTAGAGTATTGGCTTTTGTGGGTTTTCTCAGTTTCTGACATCACATGTTTGTTGTCTGCACCATATGTTGTGAGAAAAAAACTATGTTCCAGTGTTTAGATTGTCAAACAATATACAGAGGAAAAAGAAAAAAAATCAATGATTGCTCATATATTCAGTCGACTCTGGCATAATACCTGACCAATAAATATTTCAAGATGTTATATAATAATGTCTGTTTTCGTATCCTCTGACCAGTTAAGAAGGAAGATTAGAAGGCTTGGAATTATTAATTTTTTTTACTATTATTATATCTATTGTCATTTTTCTATGTCCTTTTGATATATCGAAGACAAATTCTACTTTGTATGAAATCTACATCAGTGATTCATTTCTTCAATAGTAGCATGTCCGCAATCCCTTAGGTAGGGCCCTTTATTTTTGCGTTTGTCTTGATCATTGATTTCAAAGTACATATATCAGGTTGCAAAGTATGAATTTTTTTCAGACCTGAAACAGTGTCTCAGAAATTGATTACTATAAATTTGAAAATAAGTCTATTCAGATGTTCAATTCCTGCTGAATTGAAGCCTTGAATTTTTTTTTCCCTCTCCTCTCTTGCTTTCCCCTCTCCAGTGTACACAATTTTTGCCAGCTGTGAATACCTTGTGATTGCGACGAATATCGCCTTCCATAGCACGGCGGCCTTGGATTTTTCCCCTTACTCCCTGGCTTATGCCAACACCGCCCTTATCACCGCCCCTCCTCACACCCCTAGTGCCCCCAGGCCCAAGGCATCATAGGTGATTATTGTTCAGCTTTTTTGTCACCTCACTGCGTTTCTCACTATCAAATTTGACTTTTTTTTTCAACCTATGTGTGTGCCCTTATCCTTTCTTTTCCCACTCCCTGATGTGCCTCGCTCTATAAAAAAGGCCTTGCAGCAGTGACTTTCCAACATATTTCAGCTGACATACATGTAGATATCTATTACTATTACCTGTAAATGTAAACTTTGTGTCTAAGTTGTATTATACATTGTATGTGTTTGTATAATTTGTCTTTGGTGCTTGGTTATTATATTGTTGTTCTCTGTAAATTTTGACACTGTGTCTTTTGCTTGTATGTCTCTTGGATTTTTGTGATCACTGTGTTTAGTTCCTTTTTACAAAGCTGCTCAATATGTTGTCCAGCACAGCATTTTTGTAAATTCCAGTTTCTTTGACTTGACCTACACTTGCAATTTTGCCTTTCAGATTACTGGGGGGGGGGGGGGTTTTTGGAGGGGGAAGGAGAGATTTTTTGCTTTATTTAAAAGATAGAAATTTTAAGGTTAAAGGCAGGCAGACATACATATACAGATTGGACAAACTTCTACTTTTCAGGACTGCTCCTACGTCTCTCTTGTGCTGAGGAAACAAATGTGAAACAAAAATTATTTTCGCTTTATTTGTAATCTATGTACTTTGGCTGAAGAGGTTTGTTGTTTGTTTTTTTTTCCATTTAGAAAGATAGAAAACCATGGATTATAGTGAGCATAGCTTAGATAGAAAACATCTCTAATTATATGCCATTAACGGGTTTCAGATAAGATTATTATTCTTTATTGAACAGACACTGGCACATTGGTTTTGTGTATGACACACACACAAACTCACATACACACCTACTCTCTCACAGATCTTCTTTCCACTCACATTTATACAAACATACTGTCATGTATTCATGTCTTCTCTGTCACCAGGCAAAGACATGTTCTGTTCTCTTTTGTTGCTCGGTGAGGGTATATTTCACGCCTCATTGCTTATACAGTAGTCTCCGCCTAAGATCCCGGTGCTCGGGAACAAGGAAATGCAGGATCTTACGCGAACCGGGATCTTAACCGACAAACTTAGGGAAGAATCTATGGTGACCCATACTAAGGCTCACAATCACAATCGGTAAAATGGTCTCCCTCCACTCTTAAATGAACTGACGTGACCGCTTGGTGGGTTTATGACGTATGGCGAGCAAAGAGTTGGTAACCTTGATGACCTATCACAGTGCATAGGGGCATGAGGCGTGCCATTTTCACTTATTATCTTATCATGAGTCTCAAGATCTACGTTTTTATCCAGTTGCCCCTCCCCCTTTCCATCTCTGACCGAGCCCCCCCGCCCCCAAAAAAACGCCTTTGTCGTTACACGCCATTACGTTGTCAACACACCAATTAAAATTCAGTCTGTCTTGCAAATTCGGAAGTAGAGACAACTTTTGCAATGGTCAGAGAAGAGTTCACAGTTCAATGTGATACCGCCTGGAGCGAACGTGTAGGCCCTACCCACCCAGCAAGTGATGTAAATTTAGGGGGAGAGCTCAGGTGTGAGTGTGATGTTTTGGGAAAACAAATGCGTCGGTCAGTTCACACCCCGGTGTGATCCGGTCTGGGGCAAACATGATATCGCTTCATCGAGTTTTACAACGTGTATGTGATCACATTCACGATAGTGGCTGATCTTTGACGCGACGGACAGTTTATTGATCTCAACTTTTCACTCTTGGTTGATTGGCTGTCCCGCCTGGGTTTTTGTTCCGCAAATTGTGATCTGAAATGCGGGATCTTAGCGGAATGTAGACCTTCAGAGTGAATCAGAGTGGGATCTTAGGGGTGACTTTTGTATAGTAAAAATTGTTTCTTAAAACAGCGGGATCTTAAGCGAACCGGGATCGTAAGCGGTGGGATCTTAGGCGGAGACTACTGTATTACTTTTTTCTATGCTTCTTTATGTAAAATTTCATAATACATGTACATGCAACGTGCAGCTCATTACATTGTACTAAAGTACCGGTAGCCATGTTAAATGTAAATGAAACATGTTGTATAGAACCATTGTGCTTGAGTTTGCAATTTACTCCTGCAGTACCTAGTAATTACTTATTGTTAATTCTTGGAAAAGAAAGTGCAAAAATGAGATGGTTAATGGTTCCTTACGTTATATAAGTTATGGTAGAGGAGGAGAATTCAAGTTGTTTTCAGTTGAAAAGTATGACACTGAAGAAAAAAACGTTTCTACAACATTCACAGTAAGAAGCTCTACTTGCTCACTATCCACTCTGAATGAGGTGTTGGATTTGAATGTGTCTACAGCGACCTGTAGTCTGCTGAATGAAGAAGATAATGCCTCACAAATTTGATTGTACTTGCTGAAGAACCTCTACTTTAAATTTAAAGCAAGCATTTATGAACTGTGAACATTGAAAACATGCAGAGACCTGTGCTGTGACTGGTCTGCCAGTTAACTGAATAAGAAATGTTATCATTTTGTGTGTGTGTGGTGGGGGGGGGGGGGATTATTTCAATATTTTCCCCCCAAACCGTATCTTGTTCTCACCAAACAATTGTCTGTTACTAGCTAGTAACGGGTGGTGCATTTTTGGTTTGCTATTAATAAAATGCTCTCTAACTTGCACCTACAGAGTATTTTTAACAATGTAGTTTATGAGTTACTGATTTATAGATAAAAGAGTTTTTCCAAAGGCTGAAGATTATGCTCTATGAATACCATTGTTGAAAAAATGTTTTATTTCCATAGCAAATGGTACAGCATACTGAAGTCTGCCTATATTCTGTGTTCAGTTCAGTTCTCAAAACTAGAAAAATCCATTTTCTCCTTCATTTGAAATTTCAAAGTAGAGCTAGAACAGTACATGCACCTCTCATTGACGATCTTGGTTGTGAAAATGATCAATGACATGAGCACTATTCCTGAGCTGGGAACGTTTTTTTATCAAGTATCTTCGTCTGTCTGCTGGGATACTGTATTCTCAGTTCAGATTTGAAGCAGCTTGCCTTCTATATGGTCCAGATTGTGTCTCTGGGAGTTTAAAAGAATACTATAGCACTTTGTTTGAAAATAGTAAACAGCCTTTGAAATGCACTCTTGAGATAGTATTTTTGTATTATATCTGATCTTACTCTTTTTATTTTTAACCAACAAAGAGATATGGATAGTTGGTGGGCATTCTGGTATGGTTTGCAACTTCTTTCCTATCAAACATCTTTCGTCCTTGTCCCTCTTCCTCTTTTCTTTTCTTTGTTTGTTCCTCTCTAGTAACACCTCCGATTTTGAGCACTATTTATGACTTATTTGTGTTGCAAGTGCTGTAAAGCTCAAGCATCTTACAAAAACTAAACTAAAACAAAGACGGTATTCTTGTGTTTTCCTTTCAGTGTACACAGCGTTTGCTGCTGGGGAGTACCTGGTGATAGTGACCAACATATGTTTCCACTACACGGCCAACATAGACTTGGGCACATCTTTCCTCAGCCTGGCTTTACCCAGCAAACAAGACACACCTCCTCCCAGGTCTTGGCTTTACCACAACGAAATCTTGCCTAGATGATACTGCTGTGAATCTCTTTGTTATCACAATCTCTTGTTTTGATGTTTTCCTTTTTAACACAATCCTGTTTTGTGTTGTTAACTGGTTTTAATTTATATGTCTTCTGGAGTTTTTGTTGTTGAAAGTGTTAATGCCATATATTTTCAAATTTTGGAACATTTCATTGTTTTAGATAATGCAGCACTTGTTCTATGTGACATTTTTATCTGTAGATGATATAGCCTTATACCACGGCAAAGACGAAGGAGTGCAATGATACATACATTTTTATGTTCTTGATTAACTCGTCATCTCCGGCAAGCTGCTCACAGCGGCTCAGGGTCGGAGCCACTGTGCTGGTGAGCCACTGGCAGCAGCTCGGGCACTTTGCTGTACAACGATTTTGCAGTCAAATTACTTTTCTGCAATTGCTGAAAACTGATCTCTTTTAACGTGAGTTCATTCATTAGATGTAGAACAATGAAAATAGGTTCACTTGTTTTGATTTATTGACCAATTTAATGACGTATTTGTCCCTTTTAGATTTTATACACCAAAAGGGCCCCTGCATAGTCTGTTTACCACCTTCGGAGATAAAGAGTTAACAAACAAGTAACTTAGACACAAAGACTTCGATTGTATTTTTACAGCTGACATTTTCTTTCATTTTGCTCTTATTGTATCTTTAGCCGGAATCGTTATTGGTTATCATAAAGACTTACGTGACTCAGAGAATTCCACCCCTGAAATTACAGTATGTAATGTGATCCATGAAAGATGGAACAAAAATCACCAATAAACTTGAGTCTGAACGTGGCTCTATTCGCTCAAAAATTTTCACTTCAAACTATTACAGTGGAACTCAGATTCAAAGAAAGGAGTTGGGTTCCCCATTTTTTTTTTTATTAGAAAAAAACAATAAAAATAGGTATCAGAAACTAAATTTTCAAAGTAGCTGTGTGCCAAATTTATCTGTTCCATTTGAAAGGCCTATATCCACTGAGCATTTTGGTACCATTCTTTAACCTCTCAGTCATTTTTAAAGAAAATGGTAGTTGTTTAAAATTTGATCAAATTTGTTAAAGTCAGTCACTGGCTGCAACCCCATGTTTGACAGACAATTAAAGAGTACCAAGAGCACTAAACATCTCCACATTAACAGAGTACAATTACTAAAACAAATATATGGAGCCTAATTTTTTTCAAGACTGTGAGATCATTACAAATCAGTACTTTATCGCCTCAAACACAATGATCTGTCGTTATTTCGACAAAAACACCGAGCGTTGACCCTGCCAGTGCGCACTGGGCCCCGCGGCGAGCGTGTCGGCTCTATACTGTAGTGTACCCCGCATGCGGGGTCACATGCTTTCTGAGTCTCGTGGAAGGATTGATGATAAATAATTCCAAGCTGATTACTTTATTCTAATAGAAAATAAGCTGATCTTTTATTAATTAAAATTTTTAAGCCGGTATTTTACATATTATGGGTAAAAAGTGATCTTTTAACATTTTGACAGTATTTTTAAAAGCTTTTTATTTAGATGCCAAGGCAAAACACATATCACGGGAAAGCCCGTTTAAAGCTCTACAGTTCTCTGCCAATGAAAAGACGGTATTTAATCATTCCTCGTTCCGCGAAGCATTTGAATGCAGCCGTGTCAATTTTTCAACCGGCCGACCATGCATTCCGACCGCGAGGGGCTTCGCTTTCGTTGGCGATTCTCCAGCTCCTAGTAATCGGACATAAAAACAACTTACACCATTGTAACGAGGAAAAGCTGAACTTTTAGAAGGTGTACGGTAGGCCCTACTTGGTGTTTTATAGCGAAAGAGCAAAGAAACAGCGATCTGAATTACCCCGATTTCACCGATACCACGCGGTCGGAAGGCCGCGAGGCCGTGTTTACGCTACCTAATAAAAATAATTCGGATTCAAGGAATACACAAATGACCAAGCTCGGTTTCAACGGTGTCGCGTACAGGGTGAACAGCCCTCGCTGACATGGCTTCACTCATTTTTCTCCAGCAACGGACCTCACTGTTCTTGGAAACCATCCATGTCATCGGGCACCATTATTCACTTAGCCTTTTCTTTATGCAACCAATCAGTCACCTTCTTTCATACCAACACACATGTTGTTAGCACGCTTACGTATTTGCATGTGCCAGGGTCGGACAGGCGGCCAACACACTTGTGATTGTGTGCATGTGTCTGTGGGAAGGGGCCATAAGCGGTCTGGGCATGGAACGCCAGTAGAGATACAAATGCTTCACAGTTATCCCCTTGTAATAAATTGCCTGCTAGTCTGTAGAATCAAGCATTGCCGTAAGCTAGGCTCTACACAACCATATAACTTGTTCAACTAACAATACATTATAGATGATCGATGACACAGGCATGCATTTGAACGAATTGACCCTTTTGCTCAGTATGTGCTTGGTAGAGTTAAGTGTATAAAATGCTATTTTCCTGGAATTTTTTCGCATTTCTTCGGAATGGCATCAAAGAAATGAAAATGCCTCTCATTTGAAACCAAACTACTTTTGATTGAGAAAGTCGAATTCATTATACATTACTTGCTGGGTTCCTATTGTGTAATTATCTACACAAAAACCTCATGTTTGTTTTAATGAACGCTGATTAACTAAATCAAAGGTCATGCCCAACAGCTTTGTTGAATCCGAGTCCCACTGTACAAGTACAAGGTGAGCCAAAAGTTTCTCTATGCATGAGAAAAAAATGAAGTTTTTTTTTTTTACATTGCTTTTCACATGCAGCACATGTTTTAAATCATGTTGGACAAAATGGAAGAGAAGCATATTTTATCATATTTTTCTATGCAATGGCAGCTAGTTGAATAGAATCTTTTGAGCTTTGGGGGATTTGGTTTTTCTTAAATTCATGTGTCATTTGAATAGATACATCTGACCCACCAATATATTAAAGGGACCATTTTCAGTTGTGTGCATCTGTAAAGAAAATGCTCTCTCCTCAATCTCACCTGTGTGTGTTCATTAACTGAGTCATAACCCACTTTTAACCCAAGATCTTTCTTGCTGTTTCTCGAGTGACGCTGACTGCTGTGTGTGCACAAGCTTTAACATTTTATGTGGATTGTGTTGACCACTTGTTTTTACTGGAAGTTATTTTGCAGTTGCTATTTCCTTTGGGTTCTTTTTTATTCCCAACCCAGTTTGAATGAAAGTAAAGTGTATAGGAGCTTCAAATAAAAGCGAAAGAGACAAACAGTCAATGTACACATCATATTTATATGGTTATTACAATTACAAATGCAGATGGAAATTAGTTTTTCGGAACAAGAGTTTTCTATTGTTTTCAACTTCATAGGGGACCATAAAGACAATTTGTTGGGGTCACTAGTTTAGCAAAAAGATTTCTAAATAAGCACTGGTTACAATACAATTGCACCATTGAAAAAAAAAGGTAAAAATGAAGGATTTTTTTCGGTGATTGCAATGTAACAGTAAAATGTATGTTCAATACTGTGCCTATCTCCTCTTCCACTTCCAAAATGAAGAGCAAGAGAAGACACCACTTTGTATTGATTAAAATGGTTTTGCATTTTTAAATTATAATTTGAATGATACTCAGCCCTATTTGTGTGTTAATTTGTAACTGTATTTGATATGGGCCATTATATGGCTGAAATTGAATGAATTTGTGATTGATGCATACGGGTCCACTAAATGAAACTTTCCCCAAAAAATCGCCAAATAAACTGGACTTTAGAATAATATATATCATATATGTTGAGTGTTGCAGTCTTGTTTTTTATGTAGTACCCTTGTACTGTATTGTTATAGTTCAGCATTATTTTGAGTGAGTTTTACATCCTGATTCCTGATTTAGGGCAATTCACACCATAGCACTACTGTGTGATACCTTTGGAGCAAATGATGGATACACTTTCTCTTATGAACATTCTTTTAATGTAGGTTTTTTCACATCCCCATTGACAATTTAGATCATTTTGATTTAGGAGGCAGTCTTCAGCCCTACCTGTCAGGGCCAACACATGCATAGCTGCCAAGTAGTACTTTAAAAACGTATTTCGTATGATTTTTGGGTTTGAGTACGGAAATCTGTTTAGGCATCGGGAAATACTTTTTCAACTTTTTCCCTCTTAGTTTCAATACAAACTGGCTCGAAGCAAGAAAAATTGGAAAATTTATGACCGCATAGGCGAACAGGAGTCAACAAGACGACGAGAGTAATGTCCCCGCAATTAGACTGGATGTCGACCTCCTTCAGCGAGTCTAGTAGCGCCCCTTCTGTATTTCTTTGTTTATTAATGTTATTGAGCATGCGCTTTTAATGTGGGAAGTAACCTACGGGCCTTCTTTGTTTCTCATTCATTCTCATCGGTCACGGGCCATCGTGTGTGTGTTGCGGGCGGCTTTTGTGATGAATGAACGCAGGAGCGAAAACTATATTTCTTTGATCACAGACGCGTAATAGTTTCAAGCGATGGACGCGTTTTTAAAACCAACCAGTTCTTCCAAGGCAAAACCTCGCGAACAAACCTTCTGTGCCAAGTATTCAGAGGAATTCAACTTCATCACTGCATCGAAATTATCAAACGAACATGCTTTCTGCAATCTGCAAGGTGTGCAGACGTGACATTGTGATTTTCGCATGGTCGGAGATCGGATATCCTCCTGCGCTCTAAGAGCAAGGTGCATGTGCGCGCACAACAAGCAGAGACTGGGGTTGGGCGTAAACAATCAGTTATTTCTTTTGGGACTAAAGGAGATTCCGACAAAGAAAGTTTTAGTGCTATCAAGGCTGAATGTTTATTTGCTGCTTTTTATCTAGAACATAATATTCCTTTGGCTGGTGCCGATCACATGGGCAAACTGTTGAGAGCTGCTTTTCCCAACTCAGATGAAGTAAAGGTTTCACCCTGGCCGAACAAAAACGTCCAGTATTGTAAAAGAGATGGCATCTGAGACAACAAGAACTGTGGTTAGTGATTTGAAATGCCTTCCCTTTTCTGGGGCAAGGGATGGAAGTCACAAGTCACACAAGTGATGCCAAGCTCTATCCTCTCATGATAACGTACCCTGACAAGGCCACAAAGTGTGTGAAATCACAACTATTGTCACTGCCAGTCCTCAATGCTTATAATTTGAGTAGAAGATGTCTTTTGGTATCTTTTTGAAGTAAGAACTGGTCTCTTAAAATTTGGCAGCTATGCACATTGTTTGGTCGTTTGTTTGAGTAAAGAGAAGCACACCGACACAATAATGGTCATCTAGTGCTGGGGAAAAGTAAGAGAGACAGAGATAAAAACAACAGAAAGAAAGTAAAGAAGTAAGACATACTAGCGGCGCCCCCCATAACCACCCGCTAACACATGGTGAAAGGGATATAATATATATATAAATATAAATGTATATATATAGATGTAATATCCCAGCAGGAAGACCCAAGATACTTGATAAGAATTCTCCCCACATGACAACCAAACTTACATCTCTGTATGGCAGCTCAACGCGTAACCACAACACCAGAAGCAGGTACATCCGAATTCAAGAGAAGCAAAATGAACTAGCAATGGTGGTAACTACTTGTGCTGAGAAAAGACTGGTAGAAATAACTAGAAGCTCTTTGACACTTGACCAAGTAATTATTTTCATTTTAGTAAGAGTTTTACGGCACTTGAAACACAACTAGGTTATTATATAAGTACTGAAGATTAGAGGTTACAAGAGAGTAACCAAATAAAAAAGGAGGAGAGGTAGAACAATAGATATTTATTAGGAAAGAAGGAGCAAACCAAGAGCTCACTGACATGACAGACAGAGTGAAAAGAGTAGAACCTGCCAAAGGCATCCTTCAACCACCCACAACTCTTGCTTTCAGTTAATTTACCTAGCA